CATATCTGGCAGGATTTCTAATTGTTACAACACAGCCGATCGCTTACCAAAGATCCAATCACCATGTGTTTTCTGTTGCACGGTCAATGACATCAGCATACTAGTTGTTGTGCGTTACAGTTTTAAGTGACATTGCTATAACGGGAACGTTTTTACTGGGATATAAAAGCTTGGAACAATTTCTGCATTTGGCTGCAGTCTTTTTTTTCTCACTCAGTCAACATGTAGAGGCTTGAAACGAGCACATTAAAGCTGACCGTGGGGCTCACGGCAGACACACAAACATGCACCCTAACGCAGTGTGTGGGCCCCAGGTCCTCCGTGAGATGGGTTCCAAGCTAATTAAATTGACCCGCGGGCGCCGTCTGGATACACTGACGGCCACTCATTTAATTAGCGAACCTGCTCCACTGGCTGGTCATAGAGACCCACTTCATTAACGGGGGGGTTTGGTTTCTCTGCGGTCATAATAGTGGCGTTTAGAGACGTGCATGTGTCCTCCTGCTGAACCCCCTCCTTCATTCATATGGTGCCGTGGTCCATGATGTCATTGATCAATTCAGTCATTCCATCGTTGCTAAAGGAGGGTCGGCCTTCCACATGTTGTGCTTTAAGCTTTGGCCGACACGTTGTGAATTTATGAGAATTTATAGATTTCCCTAAAATCTTAACATCCCTTATGAAAAAAATACCTTTTTGTAGAGACGTGCAAGTGATCCTGATCAAACCGGCCTAATGTGCAATGACCCGATACGTCAGTCACAAAATGTATGTATCGAATGTATTTGACTCTCCTATTGAAATACTCTCCAGTGAGTTATAGACTCCTATGAAACCGCTTATTCAATGCGTTTAGTTTTGGGGGACGGATGTTTTTTTTTTTTTTTTGACCAACGTTTTTACGAACTGTAACCATTTGATTGTCTCATCGAAAACGTTGCACAAATCAAAAGAGCCCAGGCCAGGCTTTTATCTCCTGAACTGCTTCCTGCTGTGACTTAAGTCGAGAGAAAATGTTTAAGCTTGTGAAGAGATTCAATGGCGCTTTGCAGAAGCTACCTGCTTTCTAACTGTGGTGTCTTCTAATTGACAGGAAACGCAGTGAATCCCGTTTTTATCGTTGTTTTTCTGTCTCTATTGGTCGCGGAGCTCTAAATGGCAGGTGCAATTATTTTCGACTTTTGTTATTGTGAAAATGCAGAAACTGTGCTCTTTCTCTCCCTCCCCAACCCCCGAACCCTCCCAGCTGCCTGTTTCCTGACTCTGCTTTGTAGTGTCCAGAGCGAAAAGCGAGATGGGGATCGAGACGTGGCAAAGGCTCCTGGGAAAAAACAAAACATTACACACATGCACATCAGAGGCGAAGCTCTGATGTCGCATCCCCGGCTCCAGCTCTTTGTAGTGCAGTGAACGGATAGTCGGGTGGGGGAAGGCGTAGGGAGGGAGGGGGTGTAATGCATTGAATGAAGGAGGGAGGCTGAGTTGTATGCCAGCAGCTTGGCGGAAGCAGCAGTTTCCATCCCTCGGGCTTCAGGCTTTTATCCGTCAGTCGAACGGGAACCAACCTCTCAGGCTCTCCAGAATGTCCATGCAGCCTCTGTGTGTGTGCGTGCGTGTATGTGTGTGTGTGCGAGACGTTCACATCTACATCGAGCGTAGTGAGCGATGAGCAGCCGATGATCTTCGCGCGGGGCCACCAGGCCGGGTATCTGGACCTCCTTCGCAGTCCGCACATCGGTTTAGTCACTTGGGCTGGCGAGACTTGACCGGTGGGTTCCTTACGGGACTCGGGCGGGGTGATTCCCGAAAATAAAGCGTTGCATCGAAGGGGGGGGGGGGCTTACCTCCAGTCAGCAACAGCAGCTGTCTCTGACAGCGAGCTCCGTGGCCCACTAGACAACAAGCCCTGGAGACAGACATTGTGTGTGTGTGTGTGCGTGTGCGTGTGCGCAGGCTCTCCATTCCAATTCTGAATTAGCTTAGCTCGCGGCTCCAATCGGGCCTTTTGAAGGTGCGTTTCCAGTGCAGTCGGTTCCTTTGTTCTTTCCTTCTCCTCCCCGCAGTCTGCCCCCATTTTTCTCTTCACTTGTTGTATTATTTACCCGGGATCCCTGTGCCGGTTTCTCAGTGTGTTTCCACTGAAAACAAACGCAAACGGCCGAAAGTCCTCAGGCCGGTGTTGCCGGTCATCCTGTCTAACAGCAGAAGAGTCTATTTCAATGTGAAGAGCCTCTTGGGGTAGTTTACAGCTTCCCAGAGAGCCTCAAGAGGCAGGAACTAATTAAATGGATAGCATATACACGGAGGGTTCCCATGGTTGAGCTGCTGTAACGGCGTGCGAAGACGATGAAGAGGAGAGTTTGTGACTCGACGAACCAACGGGGCAGTTTAAAAGCGCCAACTACCGCCACTGCTAGCGTTTTATTGCCGTTAATCTACTATGTGTATATAAAAGAATCAAACCGCCAATAACCCAGCATCATCTATCAAATATACTACGACACAAAATGTGGCGTTCACCTTTGAATCCGCTTAAGCCTCCGCAGAGGTTTAGTCACTCATGTGAGCCCCTCGGCTGTGGCCAGGATTAACCTCAAGGTGCATGCATTTCAAATCTGCCCTTAATGCTCAGTGATCAATGACCTTTGAGGAGTTAAAGTGCATTTCTTGTGAGCTTAGCGTTGGAAAAAAAAACACTTTTGGATCGAGTTTAATGTTTTATTTGGCTTGCAAACAAACAAGAACAAGTTATGTTTGCATCCAGTGCTTCTCCCCCAAAAGGCATCGTGTGTGAATCCGAGAGGTCTCGTAAACATGTTGAGTGTATTCCCTTGCTCGTGAAAACATTTGCAAAGCTGACTTTTATTTATTTAAATCAGCTATTGTTTGCATCCACGTTTACCAGCTTGCATTCTTCTGCCCTGGATTCTCGCTGCAGCAGTTTGTCCCGTGTGCGCCGCTTCTACGGGTGTGAATGTGTACATTTCAGTGTGTGATTATGGGTCGGGGGAGGCCACAGGCTCACGGTGGCCCCGCCGGCCTCAGGCCTCTCAGGTTTCAGGGCTGAGCATTCCTCCCCGGGCTGCTCCATAGCTGTGAAAACCGCAAAGCAGCTCGCAACTACATACACGAGAGGCGCTGAGGGGGCAAGGGGAGGAGGGACCAGCTAACCTGTGGGCTAATCATCACAGCAATTATCTCGCTCTCCCGGGATGTCCTTCTAGACCGTTCACAATGGCGAGATCTATGGAAACAAGTGTTCCTCCCGCCTCCCCCCATTTTCTTCTCTTTAGTTAGTACAGGGCACATGCCTCCTGCTAAGTAGTCGCAGCTCTGTTTATGTTCGCTTGTTCGTGTTTATTTGACAGTTCTACATCTTTGGACTTTTGCTTTTTTTCAATCTACAAAGGCGGCTGGGGGGCAGTAGACCCCCTGGGCTCGTTGCGGCACGTTGGGGAAAACCGCGGTACTGTTGTGTGACAGATGATGAAAAAACACACATTTAGACATTCAGGATTTAAAGTGAGCACCTTGTTGACGTTCTGTTGACAACAGATTTATAATTAGCACTGTGCTCGTTTCTAGGTCACATGATTGGATTTCTGGAAAATACATAATTATGGCCTTTAAAGAGGGCATTGTAAGGAGATTTTGCATTCTGGAGGCATCGTATGTGTACGTGCTTGTCCAATCTGCAACTTTCATGATACTAAATTATTAATTTAACAACATTTTCTGGTTGTTCCTCATCTCACACAAGCCAACCAGAAAAGTAACTCAAATATATATATATATTTTCTTGCTGCTGATGTTGCCATGACGTTATGATGCACATTTCTGCTGGTTTGTCTATGCATCACCATATGATAATCTATAGTTAACGGACAACTTTCAATATGGTGCTATTAATGGTGCAAAGACATTATTAGACAAGACATTATGATATAGTAGTATTTTTCTTTTGCAGTAAGGTTCCGTAGTGAATCGTCTCCAGGTGATTTGCATGTGGTGCATTGTGTGCAGTCGGTGTACTTGGAAATGTGTCTAACAAAAGGTGTGGACAGGCTTTGTGTGCACTGGGGCGGCTTCCAGTGAGACACCTGCCAACCTGTTGCCTCGGCACAAACAGGGGTTTTCCTCTGTCTGCTGCTGACTTTTCTTTTGGAAAGTGTGAGGTGAAAAAATAAATAAACGAAGCGCTCAGGAGAACACCTGGAAAAAAAAGAAGAGGTGTGCGTTTGTTATTCAGGAAGCTCTTAGCGTGTGAAGGCTGAGATCACGCCAGGACTCATTTTCCCCCTGCCTAATGTAGTGCTGTACCTCCTATTCACTAAACAAGATCAATCAGGGGCCACTAAAATGTTTCAGTCTGGGAGGCGGACGGGGAAATTCAGCCCCGTTTGTTGTTACGGCTGACCTCAAGATCCAGACAGGTGACGCACTTCCCTCCCCGAGCTAAAAACCGATGTAAATGAAAGCGCGTCAGCGTGTGGCTCTGTGACCTGGTTGTTTTTGGCAGATAACCAGGTTCACCGTTCCCTCCGGTTGCGCCTGTCTGAGCGCTAATGACTCGCTACCAATCAAGACGCTGTTGTTCCTTAATCTCACGTGGTCACATCATATACCGTCACATATTTTGAAACCGGCGACCTGCAGCGTCACATCTGTGCACATCTGGTCTGTACTTAGCGTTCAATACAGAGCCTGGATAGGAAGTACCGTCACTGCTGCGAGCACAAAGAGGTGTCTTATCAACTCTCTTGGTAAGCTTGTGACATTAATAGAATAGTAATTTTTTTACAAGGAGAAAACTTTTGCATTGACCCTTTCTGTAAACTTAATAATAGTGTTGATAACAAAAGTTGTCTACCAAGAAGCACCAGGACCAAAGATCTATTTCTATAAAGGAACTCATTCCTCCCCAAGAGATGCTTTTCACTTATTGGCTCAGATTTCTCTGCGTTCCTGCTGATCGAACCTCTGCTTCTTTCTCTCAACAGACGATCTTCAACTCGTTTTCATACAATGAGAAAACATCCAACGGAGAAACAGAAGTGCAGCAGGTGAGTTACAAAGGTTTCTCCTGTGTGTGTGTGTGTGTGTGTGTGTGTGTGTGTGTGTGTGTTTCCACCCGTGCGTCAGGGATCTCTGAAGAGTGACGGTAAACACCAAGCTGGTAAACAGCCCCCAGCAAGAAGAGACAGGTGGATGTTTGTTTGCACATCCCCCGTGTCCTCGCTGCTGAGTGTGTGTGTGTGTGTGTGTGTGTGTGTGTGTGACATGTGTGCATCTCTCGCCTGTTTACTATTACACATGCAGCTTCAAATTTGCCTGCAAGTATTGTTTCTCCTCCTCAATGGATTCGTGGGCCCTTTTCTTTGCCGACTTGCAGAAAAACATGATTTAGACCCGACCCCAGTGTTTCTGCGCCATTGTATTTCATCGATAATCACAACCTCTCGTGCAAATGTCCCTCAGCGTGTAGAATAGGTCGAAAAGCCTTTTTCCCGCCAAACAGAAACCTAAGCTATAATATGTTTTGAAAAGACGCTGCGTGTGTTTAACTGCTCATACGGTGGCCGTTCGTTCTAGATGCGAACCCCTCTGAGGAAGATGACAGCTCTGACATGGGGGTGAGTTCTCTGGTCAGAGGCGCCCGTGTCCGTGAGCCAAAACAAGACAAATTAGGAGAAGGGGAGGGAAAGGGGGGGAGAGGGGGAGAGGAGGGGGGAGAGGGTGAAGAGCTCCACGGAGGAGCCACTGGATTCTGACACAAGTTTCCCAACTGGAAATTCATTATTCAGAGAGACCCTCTGGAACGACACAAGGCAGCCCACCCCGACGTTGCTGTCAGAGGGGACGTCTGTGGTGTGTTTTCATGTTGGTGAGCTGTGGAAAGCCATTGCAGTCTGTCTGAACGTCTGTGCAATGGACCCAAATACGCAGCTAGCCGATCAACGGTGTACGCCTACAAATGAGTATTAATGCAATATCATTAAACTGCTATGTTGGCCAGATTAATACAAAAGAGGATTTTAATCACACTTTACTGGTTGAATATATTACATGATTATACAGTAAGTTTATCAACCGATTTACCCTCATTGCTGCTGCTATACAAGTTGTGTCAGGGAGCTGTACGGCTGTCACAGTTACAGGTAGGTGAAGCCTTCACAAGGTGAAATTAGATTTTGATTATATCCCCCTTTTTCTAATCTGACATCTTCCTGCTTTGATATTTGTATTTTGCTGTAATAATTCATTAATGTTGTTTGACACATTTTAAGTATATTGTGGTTGCCCATCAAACGGCTGAACACTGGCCCATTTGCCTCACATTGCCATGTGACCATGGACGGGCAGGACTGGGGGGGGAGTAGCACCACGTTTGTGTGTTGAGCATTAGTTCTGTGTGTGACAGTGCACGTGTGTGTGTGTGTGTGTGTGTGTGTGTGTGTGTGTGTTCCATGAGCAGGAGTAGTTGTGGGCCGTGTCTCGGGTCCCTGCTGAACCCATAATAGGAATAGCGTCCGGCTGATTAGGTGTGCAGGCGCTCGGCGGCTCGTGGTGCGTTTGCTTGTTCCTGGCTGGGTTTGCAGCCACGGTTAATTATGGGGTGTGAACAAAGGGGCTACAGCTACTTTTATAATAAGCCCCTTTCTGTATTCAACTAGGCTGAGGAGGTAACTTACAATGGCTTCGGAAGGTATTCAGACCACTGCCTGTTTTATTGGCGCTGGGACTGTTTTTGTTTTCACCTTGCGAGTCTGACTTTGTCATAATGGCTGAATGTGTTCCACAGAAGCTCTTAACCAGATGTTTGTGGACCTGTTTGGGTTTCGTGTGTAACAAGCACACACGACCGGGCGGGCTGAAGTTCCAAAACATTACAAGTGTGTGGTTGAGAAATGAAGGCGGAGGTGGAAGCTGCGGGGTTGAGGGTGTGGTTCGTAGTGGAGAAGGGAAGGACCCGTTAGGCTCAGGCACGCGCAACGATCTTTAGTTCTTCCATCTCTTTTATAGCTTTTAAAATGAGGTTGCCAGTGGCAACCTGACAGCTGTTGCTGTCGAGCCTAGAATATAGAATTGTGTATTTAATAAAAAAAACAATGACACAAATGTATCAAGTGAGATTGAATTCAAGCAAGCAAGAGACGCACGTGAGTTAGAGGTGTGTCCGCTAATCACCGACTGATGTGTCTTTGTTTCCTTTGTGCAGCTGGCTAAGAAGATCCGTGAAAAGTTCAATCGCTACCTGGACGTGGTGAACCGGAACAAGCAGGTGGTGGAGGCCTCGTACACCGCTCACCTCACCTCTCCACTCACAGCCATACAGGACTGCTGCTCCATCCCCGCATCCATGATGGAGTAAGTAACACATTGATTTCCACATCCATCCATTTTAATATGCTTTCATTGAAGTAATGTCCTTTTCCCAAGCGACGTGTTCCAGTTTCTCATTGGGCTTCATGTCTGTCTTATCATCATTTTGTTTACCATCAAGTCAGCGAGTTAAATGAGGTCCTCAATTGAGGAAAATTGTCGCGGCCTTCATTGTAGACGCAACTTTTCAGCAAATCATCACCTCCAACGCGTAAAAACACAGTTCAAAGCTGAGAACTGCTTTCAGTTTTAATCTACAAGGCAGCAGCTGTCTCGACCCGTCATCCTCTCTCTCTCTCTCTTTTTCTCTCTCTCTCTCTCGCCATCATCTGCTCTCTCTCCCCTTCATCAGCCAATGTAACCAGTTATTTCTCTCAGAAGTCTTTGCGAGGCTGCAAGGTCACCTTTCTTTTCTTCATTCGTGCATCCAGGAGGCTGCCGGGCTCGAGGCCAGTGACCAACTGTAACTCGTGCACATGGCCAACATGCGTTCAACAGTTGTTCACATGCAGACGTGTTTTATTTACGGCCCTAAAACAACGGTCTAAAATCATCAAGCAACCATGGAATGAGATGATGTGAGACCCTGTAAGGGGGGGGACACAGCGATGCAGGGGGGGGCACACAGATACTGGTGGTGTTTTTGGGGGATGGACAGACCGAACTGAAGCTGAGTCGCACAGATCCCTGAAATTTAAACGGATGTTCCTCAGGCGAGGAAAAAAGGCACCAAGCTGTGTTGCTTTGATGTTGGATGGTCTGTTTCAGGAGCAGCAGAATGCTTTAGCTCTCTCGTCCTCAGCACCTCCAATGTAATCCATACCCATAATGGTATATCCAATACATTTGCACCCAGTCTCATCTTATTGGAGATAAACCTGATTCTCTGAATTCGTTAGCTGATAAGCGAACAAAGACCTGAAACCATAGAAATGCCCAAAATATAATTAAAATAATTCTAAAACAATGTGTTGCTGGTACTTGATTTGTCCACCAGAGAGAACCGGCAAGCTTATATTCACCTTTTATAATGTCCTGATCATAAATTTATCATCATCTAAAATGTTTATTCAAAACATTCAAAAACAACGAAATCCACCTGTAATGATTTGCATTCGCACATCATCGGCAAATCGTTGAAGTTCAAGCACGATACATCCTCGTTCAAACTACTTTTTTATTGACTGTTGAAGATTAGCAGTTCAGGAGCCTACACGCTGCAACTGCCCCGTTCAAGGGATCTAATTGCATCTGGTTTACCAGGCGTCTCACTTAATGAGGGCAGAACACGCTGAAGACAAAGGAGAATGAACAATAACATGCCGGTTTATCCGGAGTCTGAATCGGGAAAGCTCTCACTACTCCAGTGTCCTTCATTAGTTTCAGCCATCAGCTGCTTCTGGGGGTCTCAGTCAGGTCAGCCAGTTTAGAGGGGGGAGGGAGGGGGGGGGGGGGGATCGGGTGGTTCACAGGGTTTCCGTGTCTTTTAGCCGTCGATCTCGCAGCATATCAGTTCACAGGGAGGCCACAGAGGGCGGTGCTTAGTGGTATGCTTTAATCACCGCTCCGCCTCAACAACAGGCTGTGCCTGAAAATAGAAAATGAATGTGACTCTGAGTCTGTGTGTGTGTGTGTGTGTGTGTGTGTGTGTGAAATGTGTGTGTGTGTGTGTGTGTGTGTGTGTGTGTGTGTGTGCAACTGGGTGTGTGTGTGTGTGTGTGTTATATTTTTAACATGCAATCTCCAGGTGCTCCTTTCAACAGGTCCACCGCTATGCAGTTGTTAGAGTGAGAAGTGTGCCGGGGAGCAGTCCAGATGGCGTTTTACGGTCTCATTCCGACAGTAGTTCCAGGGGAGATGAGCTGTAAATGGACTCTGCAAAGGAAAATTATATTTGTATAATCCTGAAGAGTTCCTTGGAGACGGAAGATAATGGTTGAGGGAAACGCAACGTGGCCGGGCTGTTCTATCTGCGCCTTCAGTAGCCCGTTAAACCTCAATGCAAAACCTTTTACTCCTGCGATGAGGGGAAGACGCTGCATGATGGAGCCAACGTCATTACGGAGGAACATGCATGTTTGCACCATCTATCCATCTAGCGATGTCGCAGATTCGCGTAAAGTGCAAGATGAGGGGTGAAATTGATTTACTCATAAATTAAATATATAAATTATTGACAGCAAGTGCTAAGACACAGCTAATGTTTCCTAAGAGGAATACTCACCATCTGAGCAATTTGGCGGATTCACAGTCCAGATCAGGTGTCTAAATGCCACCGATGAGCATACGAATAACACCGTCTTCAGGATATAATATATATCCAGTCAATTCAATTAATTAAATAATTCCTCAAACGATTAGCATCCACTATGTCTTTTTTCCCCCCTAGTCAAACTAGCTGCTGGATACCAAACAGGTTTTTAAAATCCACTCCGCGTATTGATACGATAAACTCTGTTTAGATAGAGCGTCCTTTAAGCACTCACTGAGGGATTGCAAAATCATTACACCTGGCGTTGGCGCTCGCACAACAGTAAGCCTCTTCAAGGTAATTGTACTCCTGTGGGGTTTTTAATGCCGTATGATTGTGCACACACTCACTTAATGGCGAGTCACTGCCGAACACGGCAGTCGCTCATTTATTCAAAGGTGTCTCACTCCGTGCTGAAAGACGCTGGGCTTCGTCTTTTCGAAGAGTTTCTTTCTTACCGCTCTGGCGAGACCAGGACGCATTGTTTTTCAGTCTTAGTGCTGTATTAAAAGAACATGTTTGCAAACCTCAATGAATTGTAGTTTAAATCTTCACTGGCACCATCAGGGGAGCTTTCTCTCTCGTCCTCAGGACAGCAGCGTAGCGAACAACCCCTTGTGCAAGGAGCAAGGATTCCAACAATACATTATTAATATTCAATGGAATAGTTGTCCCAAATCACCACGCATCCAGTTATGGACATTCTTTACATTCTGTGAATCAAATCTATCTCGACTTGTGTCTGGTGACTCCAGTCTGATTGCAAAACAGATTTTTCTTGCCCTCATTAAAATGTTTGATCACAGTCAAAGCCCTCCTCCCTCATTGCTCTCTCTCTCTCTCTCTCTCTCTCTGCTCCCTCGCTCTCTCATATTCCTGCTCTCATATGTGTTTTTGATGTGGAATTCAAAGTGGCTGCAAATGTATTTTTTATCTGGCGCGCGTTTATGCTGCGCGGCGGCGTGCTCGCTGTTTCTATGCAGAGTGAGTTGAATAGTAATGACTTTGGCCTTATGGGACTCTAAATGAGTGAAGTTCAAACGCCGCCTGTACATCACAACGCCTGTCAATCAAACCAGGCCACGGCCAGCGCTGCAATCACCGGGGGGGGGGGGGGGGGGGGGGGGGGAAAAAAAAAAAAAAGAAGAAGAAATAAGCGGGGAGCGGAATCAGGAGAAAAAAAGAGAGAAAGAAGAAAAAAGCTGGGGGGTGGGAATAGAGATAGAGGGAAGTTGAGGCCGTGATGGGAAAGGAGATTTTAGGGGGAGGGGGGGGGAGGGGGTGTTGGAGAAATGGAAGGATCAAAGCACCCAGGCTTGGTGCAGTGCAGAACAGGCTGCTCCCCTGCATTTCTCCCCCTTTAACTCTCAACTAAGCTCTTAACTGTAGAGATACGAGCGGTGGAAACCGGGCTTCACCGTCAACCCACACACGTAAGAGATAAACGCACAACAAAGCTGTGTTAAAGACGCTCCTTAAACAAATGTGTGTGTGTGTGTGTGTGTGTGAGAGAGCAAGGATATCACACTAATGGGCCACATCTTCTTAACATCACAGAACTCCGTGTTCTTAAGCACATTTGTTGATTCAGAGCTCGCCGTGATCACAGATAAAGTGTGTCGTTGGTCTGCTGTAGCATAACTGCAATCAGAGGCGTGGCTTTGATTAAATGATCACGGATTGCGTTTTGGTGTCATTTATGAGGTAACTACCCTGAAGAATAGACGGCGGATCAAATGTAATATGCCTTCAACACACGGGTCTACAATTGGATGCCGGGGCAGCTGCAAACGACAGGATCGGGGGGAATATGTTTGTCATTAAGCTAGGTTTTTTAGTATGTGTTGACTACATATTATAAAGGAAAACGGGACATTTGTATGAGATTAATTTCCCCATTGCTGGGCAGAGTGACGCACACATTTCTAAAAGATTGAAAAGATTGACGTGTCTCATAAGCAGCTGAATTGAAGTTGTAGTGAAGCTGCGTTAAAAAAAGACTTGGAGAGAAGCGGAATTTAACTAGTTTTCCGAGGAAAATATTATTCACGGGCCAATTAGCTGATTTAATGTGAGGTTTGGGCAACATGATAAAGCAAGCAACATAATTCAGCTCTGATGAAACAAGTAAGGGCTATTAGTTTTGACAGATGTTTCATATAATTGTATTAATGATTTTCGCTTTTTAAACATGTTTGTGGAAAGCATTTAGATCTCAAACGCTTCTCTTTCTTATTAAACATGAGCATTACCTTAAAGACTGTTTTTATGGGTATTTTTATGGATAGCCATGTAGTAGTGAACCTGAGCTGGTAGTAAATTCACCAACAAATAACTATGGATTTCTCAAATGTTGCCTGTTTGTGTGTATTTAAGGTTTGATGGAAACTTCAACACCAATGTCTCCAAGACCATCTGCTGCGACAGACTTTCCCCCAACGTCAACAGCCGAGCTTTCAACCCTGGGCGGGACCTCAACTCAGGTTTGTTGCACAACAACGCGCCAAAAAAAAAGCATACGGACTGACCTGGTTTAACTAATTAAACGTGGCTACACAAAGCGTAAACTATTAAAACCCAACACTGGTATGTTTTTAATTTCCACGCATGCCAGCTTAATTAAGTAATATCTTCTGTGTTCTTGTTCTGCAATGTTAAAAGGAGAGGACATTGATCTGAGATGGGAATAATTAGACGTGTCTGCTCCCCAACTCGCACTTTCTTCTCTTTCTCTCCTTTGTCATCTGGTTTGATGTAACATTTATTTTTACCACCGTGTGGTTTACAGGCTTTGTTTCAGGCTTCACTTTACCTCAAATTGAAGCTGCGTCGGTTGCTGCGTATCGACGTCTGACATTATGGGAGCGATACGAAACCGTGTGATGGATTTCTCATGGCTGCCGCTGTACAGAAATTAAGGCTTCAGATTGCATTATCACATTGCAGAACACCAGCATGTAAAACCTGCACGTGTCCACACCACATATGTCAGTCTGTGGCTCATTTAGCTAATTTACTAAAAAAACAGGCAACGGCCGACGTTCCCCAGCGCCTTCTCTTCCGGTTCCCCCACCTCCACAGAGCACATATCCAGCTGTACCTCATGCATTCATGACACACACGGGCTGCATTTCCCAGAATATTGAGCTCACTTTCCTTGTGCCTGTCAAACCTCCAGTTCCAGTGCAGCACACATTCCCTCCGGGACTTTGTCTTTGTAAGATCGTAAAGATTCAACCTAAACCGAGCTCTGTAAGATTTGCGAGTAGGTGTGCTTTTTCAAATTCCCCAAAAGTTGTATTTCAAAATGAACTGCTTAATTATAAACCATTTATCAAAGTCAAATTTAAAATTCACCCTTCACACAAACCGCTTTCCTTTTTACTACATAAGCGAGGGTTGGGTTGCACTAAATTACAGAGTGGAAAGCACTAAAGTCACCTTTAAGACTGAATTCAGGGATCATAAAAACGTTACACAAGCATGTCCAACTACACGGCCATCCCACTTAGTGCACCATATCCTCATAAAATGTAATTATCAAACAATAACTGCAACTCTTAGGCTGCATCAAGACGTCAGTATCCTTTACATTACATCAGATGGACTTTGCAAATCTCAGTCTGTGCCGTTGGATTGCATCTATCTGCGATCGCAAGCTTTTGATTTGATACAAATATTTTCCCTGCTGTTACTCTCTGGGTATTCCACATGCCCCCCCTCTTCCTTCCCTTTTCACAGCATCATTTGTTCTACTTCCGCTCCTCATTTGCCATTTTAGCCAGACGCCCCAGTCTGCTCCTCTCTTTGCCCAACACCCATAATCACGGCCATTCACAACACGTCACCATCAGCTGGCTGTTATTTTCCTTGAGAGCCAGTCACGGCGAGTTCAAGTTACCCCCTTTCCTCTCGCTGTCCCTCACACTCGGCCCTCCTTGACCCCCAACGTTCCCAGCGCATTCATTCTCTCCCATTTGTCTCAGCCCAGTCTAAACAAGCCGCTCCAGAGGGGAGGGGGGGGTGAGAGAGGGAGGGATAATTGAGAGGGGGAGAATGATGAATGAAGGAGGGGCGGGGGCTGATCTAAATAGAGTAATTGTATCAGGTCTGCAATGCATTATTTCCATCTTCTCTCCTTTCAATTTAACATTTTTAAGAGGGGAGTGAGATAGTGGATGTGGGAGGCATCAGCATGGGAGAGGGGGAGGGAGAGGGAGAGGGGGGGGCGAGGTGATGAGGAGTGGCTGGTGAAAGAGTGCTGTGTGATTAGAGTCCTAGTTTGATCAATCTTTCTTCCTCCTCACTCCCCACTTTCATCCATTTATCCCGTTTCGCTGCTTCCTTTCATCCATTTCAGTGCATTACTTTGCCAACAACTCCGATTACCAATCAGCACACTGTCACATTGACTTGCATTTACCGTGCCAAGTGTTTTTCTGGCTACGTGTTTGACCTTAAACCCGATCATGGCTATTAAGACTAGAATAGTTCACCTAATGCATGGTCCCCACAGGAGGAGTCCTAATTACTTTGGGGAGCCCCCGCCAAAGTATTCCGTCTCTTTTTAAAAGGTCTCCACGCGGACGTTTAGGCACAGACTTGGGAACAGGCATCCGAGGCTCCAGGTGACACTTCCTCACCCCGTAGGGGCGCCGTTGGGCTCAGGATGCTATTGAGTCAAATATCTGATTGACTACGGCGCTGCAGGTTGCCGGTGCTGCATTTCAGCTTCTCCAATGCTTTGTTTTTTTGAGCAAATGTCCAAACAGAACCATTGACATCCCTGTTAGCATTTAGCTCAAGGCGCTGCAAGTACAACCTAACCAGGTTGCCATAGCTGCTCGTAGGCCGTTCAAGTAGAATGTTTCTCAAACGGCTCGACTCATCGATATTAAGGACTATTAAATAGTGAGAGACCTACCAGATACAAAGTAATTCTCGGCTAGACCATCTGCTCCTGAGACGATCCAAACACTAGTGGCAGAGTTCAGAGCTCTGCCGCCTGACAGATGTTTACATGGCCCTTCTTCCACTGTCAACACAGCGGAGTGTTTCCTGTTTATTTGAGCCTCAGAGACGGATGAAGTGACTGGGCAGAGCTGGTGTCCGACGGCGGGGCGCAGGAACCTGTACTTCCATTGTCATGACTTAGAGGTGCATTTTGATGACGTTTAGACTATTCGACAGTTGGGCAGTTCGACATCTGTGTGTGTGTGTGTGTGTGTGTGTGTGTGTGTGTGTGTGTGTGTGTGTGTGTTTTGGATTTTTAGCATTAGTTGAATATTTGACAGGTGATTTTCCTCCCCCACCAGAGAACATTAAACATCCTTCGACTTGTAATATTGCTGCGAGGTTGGAAATGTTTCAAACAGGTTCTCGTTAGGAGGTGATTCATTCAATGAGATTGCAAGCCAAGTCCACGTTTTGAGACTATTTAGTCTGGCAAAGACCATAGAACTATTCTGTTCTGGGAAACCTCCTCTCTAATGACAACAGTAGTCAGCTAAATGGATAAATAGTTGGTGAATGTGCACAGCTGCCAATGACCTGCGGAAACCACCATGAATGTGCATTCGTCATAATCAGATGCTGTGGCTCATCAAAAACTTTGTCTTTGAAAAATATTATTTGGGACTAAACGTATCAATTGATTCCTGTCCAGAAACAAGTAGCAGCCTCGTGTGCGATCGAAGCGAAGACGTAAATCAATAAAGAACGGTAAATTGTGGTCTGGGCCCTAAATCTGGATTGTTGTGATTTGTGTCTTGACGGTTCCCTGCTAGCTTGTTCATTTGTATTCACAGGATTAGTTCATTTGGAATGCTGCTCGAGCATTTGCCCTCTTTAAGAGAATTATTTAATGACTGTATATCATGTAAAAAAAGCCTGTTTCCTCCCTTTTTCTATTGTTTTTTTTTTCTTGAATATGTCCCAAAGTTTCTACTCGAGCCTCTTTAGCTGCCCACCTCCCTCCGTCTCTTTGTGAAAGGCCGTTTTGTGTTTGTCCTTCCCTCACTGACATGTTCGCTGTCCCCTCTCTTTGTCTTTTCCCTCCACAGTGTTGGCAGACAACCTGAAGTCCAACCCAGGGATAAAGTGGCAGTACTTCAGCTCGGAGGAGGGCATCTTCACACTCTTCCCGGCACACAAGTTTCAGTGCAAGGGAAGTTACGAGCACCGCAGCAGGTATAAAGACCAAGTCCTCCTTTTGTCTAAGCGTTTTTATTTATTTATTACTAAGCCCAAAGTTATTACCAAACACAATGAATCACTCACTTGGCAAAGTAGCTGACGTCACCGCCAACTTGTCCCCTGCAGTCAGTGGCTGCAGGGTGGTCTAGAGGGCATATTGATGGCATGCCGCCCTCACACACCCTGACCACACATGCCCTTGGCAGGAATGTCGCTCTGTCCCTCCAAAGCCGGTCGGAATCTCACACCTCCCGTGTTGTGGTTTTTTGTCTTGTGGCCGCGGCTGAAAGACGTTTCTATTCTCTCTCGTCTTTTATTTCTGTATTATTTGGTCTTTTCATTTTTTCATTTACTCGCTATTTCTTTTTCACTCTGGGTCTTTTAAAACATTTTTCTGGCTGTCTGAGCCAGGAGAGAAATGACGTTACTTTGACTTGCTTGATGTGTGAATGAGGCTTTGTGAGTACATCACTCCCCTTCTGCAGCCTGTGTTAGTGTGTCCTTGTCCAGCAGACCACACACACACACAGGCGCTGACCACCCTATTGATGCATTTCATTAAGCCGGGCCTTTATCTATATTTATACCTGCACCAAATACTGTAAATATACCCCAAAGATGAGCACAAAGTTGGCTTTGCGAAAATCCAGAGTTCATCTTTTGAACACAGATCGATGATCATCACATTTTTTCTTTTTGGGGGGATTTCACTACAGCAGAATATTACTTTAGATTATTTTTGTTGCTTGTGCTACAAGGTCTGTGAAGCCACTAAAATTGTGTTTCTTAATCAGAAAAGATATACGCATTAACCGAAAATCCAAATTATTTTAATGACTTATGTTTATCTGATTCCTTTGTGTGTGTGTGTGCGCGTGTGCGTGTGCGTGTGTGTGCGCCTGCGCCTCCAGGCCTGTGTATGTGTCTGCAGTGCTGCCCCAGTCCAAGCACATCGTGGTGATGGTGGACCACGGCGCGTCTGTAACCGACACCCAGCTTCAGATCGCCAGAGACTCGGCGCTGGTCATCCTCAACGCCGCCGATGAGCATGACAAGGTTAGCAAAGGGATTGGACCTCGTCACTTTTATAATGATGAATTTATGAACCCTAGTTTAGAAGCCATAAAATAACCTAAAACTATTTTAAGAAGAATATTTAGTATTGCCACAACAAACATGTTTTTTTCTGATTCGTACCTCCTTATTGCTGCTCTGCAGATCTCCATTTTGTCAGTGGCAGAGGCGGTTCGCTCCTGTTCTCTGGACCAGTGCTACAAGAGTTTGCTCTCTCCGGCCACCAGCGAGACCAAGAGGAAGATGAGCACCTTCATCTCCAACATCAAGGCGTCGGATGGAGCCACGCAGCACGCAGCGGGCTTCCAGAAGGCCTTCCAGCTGATCCGGAATACCAGCAGCATCTGCAAGCAGAGTGCCAGTAAGAGATTGTCCCTGTGCGCCGCATCGGAGATCAACTCCAGCCATCTTTTTCCAACATAATCGGTTTGGCCGGCAATTGAAGCGATGTACCTTGACATGCTTTTTGTCTCCGTTTCAGCCACTGACATGGTGATCATCTACCTGTCGTCTGGTATCACGTCTCGAGAGTCGTCGGAGCAGGAGAAGAGAGCGACGCTCAGCGTGGTCAGAGAGGAGAACCGACACCTCAACAACTCGGTCATGATCCTCACGTACGCTCTTATGAACGGTAGGTCACTTGCACAGATTTACATTATGCCACTATTGCCATTCTTTTGGTAATGATTCAATTTTTACGTTTTTATTGGGGCATAAAACCACCCCTCCAATCAGATCCAAAGGGGCTTTACTTGTACTTAAACTAAGACTGAGCCCATTATTTTACTTCTTTGGAACTTCATGTTTTATCCCACAATGCAAAGCATAAACAAAAGTGTTTCAAGGTTCTAAAATGAAGTAAATTGACTAGCTGTTTTGTTTTTCTCACATATTACATTACATGTGAATTCATAGATATGGTTTAACTTCACTTGAGTATTTAAAACAATATCCCAAAAATCATATCTTGTTACTCACATATTCTGCACATTCTTTTTTTGGTTGTTCATTCTGCACGCATCTGCTCGGCTGGGAGCTGCTTCTGTGTGTTAGATATCCATTCTCTATGTTCTTGGGTACAATGTGTTCATGAGAAAAATAAAGGTTAGAGAGGTGCTCAGAAACCTCAAAGGCTTTTTCCCCTGTGTGTGTGTGTGTGTGTGTGCGCGCGCTTCCTTTTCCTCTTTTATTGTCCCCGTCCATCCATCTGCCTCCTCTAATTCCAGCCTCCCTCTGCAACACAGACACACCTACTGTGCATGCATTAGTCCACCATTAATACGACTCGTTTTTGCATGGGAGAATGATAATTAGGTACATCTAAGAGAGGAGAGAGTGAGACTTCAAAGGGTGTGCTGTTCACTCGCTGTGTGACTGACAGAGGACCTTGGCTGTTTAAAGAGCTCCATGATGAAAAGGATGCAGAAATCTATCGCCCTCAGTTTATTAGCAATGCATATCCCAAAAACCATTTGTTTTGTTGCTGATGCTGTTGCACACAGCTAAAAAACCCACTGTGGGTGTGTGGCTTTTATTCCCTGCATCCGTGCCAAATGTGAAGTGATGATTGTTCAAAAAGATGAGCAGTCTAAGCAGTATAAACCACACGTGTGTGTGGGTGATTTTTGTTTTATTGAAATGGCCACTTTCCTCACCAAAACGGTGTACGGTGGCCTGAATAACCTGGGGAATGAACTGCTGAGTATGATTTTTATCCTTTATGTTGATCATTACCTTCAAATTACTCGTATTCTGCATATGGTAATACTGTACAGAAAATTCTTACTGCAATTTCCAAAAGAATAAATGAATGGATTCATACTGTTTTAAATGACAAACGGATGCCAGAAGATATGATAGATCAAATCACTTGACAATGACAAATGAATGAAACGATTCATCCATTCATCTCCATTTAACTTGGCTTTTGACACTGTATAGTATTATATTATTCCATGTGTCCCGTCGACAAAATGCAATATTTTTGCAAATATAATAATAATAAATAATATAATAATATTGACAATTTCCCCCTTGCATATTGACCTTAAAGAAAATATCACAGTGTGTATTTTTTTAAACAAGTTTTTTCATACAAAAACAAATGTATGAATATTGAATCATTGTGGTAGTAAGGATCATTATAGCTACATGGATTCTTACTCATGAGTGAAAGTGAACGGTAACTGTGCCCTTGGTGTTGGTCTGACATTGGCACCCATCAGTCGCCCAGCGCGCTGATCAGCAGAGCCTCCACATCAAAGAGGGACTCTGTTTAATCCGGTCAGTGATTGGATACTGGCGCCGTCCTTCCCAATAGGTTGTGGGATGCCAAATGTTCCCGGTGACAGCTGGAGTGACGAGCCGTGATTATCGTCCTCCTCAAAATGACCTTATGGGGCTTTAAGTCTGAGGAGTCTATTAACAACTCAGCTGCACCTCTTTCTTTCAAAGTGAGGAAGGATCTGGTGATGTCATGATAACGCCGCAGAGCAACATGATTTAACTTACAGAGATCATGCAGGTCCTCTAATCACGGCCTGCGTGTATGAAACATCTCTGCTGCTGATCCAAATGTTCATGAGAAATCCATGATGCAATTCATAATGTGTGCTTTGATCAATGATCCTGTTCAATGAAAGTCTCTTGCTGCTTAAACATCACGGGCTAATAAGTACATTAAAAATCCTGTGACTTTACTTATCTAGCTCCTTTTTTTGTTCATATAGATGAAGAGGGAATAAAGAAAACCAAGCGTCACCTTTTTTATGAGGAATTTGAGTCATGCAGTCTTTAATGAAGAGCTGTTTACTCTTTTTTTTATTTTTATTTTTTTAACCTCTTTTCCTTTTGCATAATCACCTGTTAAAAAGACCCTCGGCCATGCCGTCATTTAAAGATTGATTCATGACATCACTGTTTGATTAGATTGAACACATGTGTCTCTCCCTCCCCCCTCCTTCAGAGGGAGTAACAGGCCTGAAGGAGCTGGCCTTCTTGAGGGATCTCGCGGAGCAGAATTCGGTTAAGTACGGCGTGGACCGGACGTCGGGCCGAGACCGCTCGTCTGGGTCGGGAGGAGCCTCGGTGATGCCGGTGGTGAAGGGAAGCATGATGGTACTGAACCAGCTGAGTAACCTGGAGACGACGGTGGGCCGCTTCTACATCAATCTCCCCAATCGCATGATCGACCTGGCCCGCTTCAGTCTGCCCTACACCGACCCCATGGGGGATGGTGAGTGGTTTACTGCGGTAAATGGCATTTGAAATTTGGGACGAATGGCGAAGCTTTCATCCTGAGGTTTAGATCAATTTAATATAATTGACATGAATGAAGACTAAGGAAGTCGGATGAAAGATTGAGACAATTCATCTCTTTGAGCTCAATTTAAGCAATAAAGATGTAGGCAGAAAGTAACGTTGTATATTGGCTAGAAAGTCCTCAGATAGATGATTTGTATTCTGCACTGAATTTTGTTGTGTAAGCGACACTTTTACGGGGACTCTTCTTCTTTCTCCAGGTTTCATTATGACCGTGAGCCGGCCGTGTTATTTCGGCAACCTTCTCCTGGGCGTGGTCGGGGTGGATGTGAACCTGGCGTACATCTTGGAGGACGTCACCTACTACCAAGACTCACTGGCCTCGTACACCTTCCTCATCGACAACAAAGGTCAGTCCGTTAGAGACTGGCGTGGCGATATATTCAAATGGCCCCTTTTGTAGCCAATTAAGACTTTTTATCTCCGCAACGTATTCGCTAAAAACCATTTCTCAGTGTACAGCAACTCAAATCTGCATATTCAAAGCCTTCATCGTTAGTAGCCTGAGAGAAACACTTCAACTGGATTGGAAGAGTTCATTATTATTTGTCCATACAAGTAGAATGTTGAAACTTCATCTGTTGCCTTTTCCCTTTGTCGGACCTCATCGAAATCTATTTCCTTTGGCATTTTATTTTCTGCTGAAATGTGTTGTTGTCATGGCGCAGTGCTCGTGTCTCGTGTCTGGTCTTGGTTTGTTTTGGCCTCAGCAGGGAGGGACTTGGCTAAACCACTGGTACTGCACAGCCGGTACGTTTCAGGGACATTCATGGAGTTTTGCTGCATGAAACCCTCTCTGCAGATGGGTGTGCTGAGTAGTATTGGCTGCAATAAGTCAACTCTTGGTGACATTATACTCCTGCGCACAGCTAACGCGAGAAAGCGATTAAAAAAAACTAGGTGTTTAAAATCCAAACTGAAATAAAATAAAGATTTATGAAGAGAGAGGATTTAGTTTGGAGCCATTGTTACATATTAATCCATGACTGTAACTGTCAGTCATAATACCTTCTTCAAAAGCCCATCCCGTCATAACCCTAAATAAAACTGAATAAGAATTAATCTACATGACGGGTAGATCGAACATGATTGGCAACATAATCACAGTAACCAGACCTGGTTGGGGGGCCGCTGTCAAGCTACCACGACATGAGAAGAAGAAGAATTTTAAAAAGTGAAAAGACAAGGCTGTGGAAATATTTGGGAGAGAGCTGAAGTATAGTGGAGCAAATGACAAAATGTGGGCAGACTAAATTCCATTTACTGACCCAAATGGCCAAGTCAGTGGCGAATATAAAAAAAAGGTTCACTTTTAAACCCTTGCAGGGGAGTTTTTGCAGCTGCTCTGCATTCAATGAGCCTCTTTTTTCCCCCTCTAAAATGTTTGTTATTGTAATCATTTGGCAGTCAAATTATGGCTTCTAACTGTCCCATGCTTATTAGCAGCAACTCTACACCAGCGATGAATGAGTCCCATTAAAATGATTAGCTGCCATTCAAAGTGTCTGCTGGCAATTAGATTGTCGGTAAATACAATTATGTAAATGCATGGCTGAACTCTTCTGGATCGTAAAATAAATGTGCTTGGAAATGTTTTTTTGTTTCCAATGTTGATGGGAATTAAAACAAGCCTCCACCTAAACTTCAGAGTGGAGAGATGCAAGTATATTTAGGTCTCTCCCATCTGTGCTCCAGTGTGCTGTCAGAGGACAGCAATGCCTGGTCTAATGTGAGACATCACGCACTCTTTGAGTTGGAACGTGAGAAGCAAAGCTGCAGCATTCTTGTTTGTTTCATTCTTTCAAAGAATCTTGAGGGCTTTTTGTCCGCCCCCCCCCAAAAAATGTTGCTGCCGCAGTAAAGAGCGGTTCTTCTTCCTGATTGTATGCAGAGCGGTTTGTCGGATGCTGTTGTCTTTTTTTTTGTTGAATACTTAAGTGAGGGTTGTCTACTTTTTTGATGCTAGAAACATAAACCAGCTTTTATATGATCCAAATCAAATGCTAATTATTTTAGTGATCAAGATCTCTTTGTTGGTATCATCCGTCCACCTCTCCGTTTTTTGGGAACAATCACCAAGCATAAACTTATAAATGCATTTGGTGTAAAAAACAAAAAAACATGAAATGACAAATTGCCACACATGAGACCAGCCATCTTTTTTAATGCCCTGGCATGTTTTGGAGAAACAAAAGGTTCTACAATACACTCTTTAATATACTGATTTGTGGGTGTGGGTCTTCAATCCATTTTAATACTTTAGGGCGGTTATTTCTGAAGTTAAAATATCTCAATAGATTTATTAAGTGGTATTTGGGCTGTATTCAGAAACAAGAATCTACTCACTGCTTGCAATATATATCATTATACTATTAGTGGAACAACCAAAACAAGGTTTTCACTGTATTTCTTACATTTTAAAGAATGCTCGACACAAGTGTTTTAAGAGTCTCTTTTAGCTGCGTCTGCAGGTCCTACGAGCGGCAACTTTGCAACTAACGTCTATATACATATTTCAAGAGGTGCTGTTTATAGCTGAAAAGAATATTTGATTGACTTTTTGAATTATAGTAATGAAAGCGTAATTGTGCAACATAACTTGTTGACAGTGACAACCGATGCCCTGCTGGTCCGTAACAGCTGTTGCTTTCTTTTTGTAGTATGTATGCACATGAACTAATGATGTTTACTTGTTTGACTTCCCAGGTTACACCCTGATGCATCCATCGCTGACACAGCCCTTCTTGATGACGGAGCCTCCCCTTCACACTGACATCATCCACTATGAGAACATCCCAGGATTCCCTGCTGTGCGGCAGAACATTCTCGGGTACGAGAGGAAGTCGATACACAAGTTCAATTCCCCCTCAGAAACCTTTTGGAAACCAGAATTCCTCCACCGATTTATGGATGCATAGTGCATCGTGTGTGTATTTTTGTGTAATGCTGTGCATTCCTTGCAGCCTCCCTCTGGGCAGTCAGGTCATTTCTGTCCCGGTCAACTCGTCTCTGTCCTGGCACACCAACCGACTCCGGGACAACAGCAAAGACGCGTACAACGTCAGCTATGCGTGGAAGCTGGTAGGTGTTAGCCGCACACTGAGAATACACACATAGCAGCATACCTGACACGTGTTCACCGGGGACATTGAACATCACTGGGCAGCACTTTGACGCTCTGCACAACATCATCAGCCTTCATCCTCCTGTTTTTGATCTTCTAGGTTCAGGACACGTCGTTCATCCTTTGCATCGTGTACGTACAACCGGAGATCCCAGTGAAGCACCTGAAGAACCTCAACACAGTCCCCAGCTCCAAGTTACTCTACCATCGTTTGGACCTGCTGGGTCAGCCCAGCTCCTGCCTGCACTTCAAACAGCTGGCCACTGTTGGTGAGGGGGAAGAAAAAGCCGCCGGATAATATGTGACAGCGGAGTCATAGATGAGAACTTTAATTTTTCATCCATAGCCAGCCCTGAATCCCTGTTTCCCCCCCCCACCCCCCCAAACTTTGTGTCTCTTTCCCAGAGTCCCCCACTGTGATGTTGGCAGCTGGAAGTTTCTCTTCTCCCTACGAGCACCTCAGCCAGCCAGAAACTAAGCGCATGGTGGAGCACTACACCGCCTACCTGAGTGATAACACCCGGCTCATAGCCAACCCAGGCCTCAAGGTAAACACGGGGGGGCTTAATGTTATTTACCTGACAAGCACATGGAACATAGCCGGCAGTCAGGTATGTACACACATATTCATGTCCTCCAGTAGATGTGTACAAACACACAATGATGAATTTGTTTGTTTTTATCACTTACAGTATCAAGGCAGCGACTCGCCTGGCAGCTAAACTAAAGTTCACACGTTTTAAATGAAACGCTGCATCTTTAAGAAGGGGCACAAGCCCCCACGTGGTTTTGGCAGCCTGTGTGCATTCCTGGCCTGGGGGAGAAGGGGGTTAAAGTCCCAGCTCTGATTCCCAGGCTAGTCTTAAAGGCCCCCTCCGGTGACCTCATCACCCCTTTCAAACTAAGGAGCCTCTTGGAAAATCCTACCGGGATGTGATTTGACTTGATCGGGGACCATCAAGTCCCATTTGTTCCTAAATACTGAGCCGTACCAGGTGTAATTTGTTGATTGGACTTTCGTAAGATTGTAAAATAACCATCTTGAGCTGCAATGTTATTGCTTGAAGTTTCGTTGTGAAATGAGCAGAATATTTGTTTTCTACTTTGTTTGTGGGTTGACTGGAGGCCAGTTTGCCAAAAGTTCCAGCCAACCTCAATATCAGGCATTGACTTTTCTCCTACTTACTCATCTTTTCTTTCTCCTCCTCCTCCCCCCCCTTGTTTACCTCCTCTCACCCCCACCTTCCCTCCTCCCTCCCCGTGCCTCTCTCCATCCCCTCGGCAGTCCTCCGTCAGGAACGAGGTTATGGCGACCAGTCACGTCACGGATGAGTGGATGACACTAATGGAAATGAGTAGCCTCAACTGCTACATTGTGCGCCGTTACATAGCAACGCCCAGTGGGGTGCTCCGGATTTACCCGGGATCACTGATGGACAAAGCCTTCGACCCCACCCGCAGACAATGGTGAGGCTTACTTTGGAGGGTGTGAAGAAGTGTGTGTGCGTGTGTGTGTGTTAGTTAGGGGAGCAAAAGAGGGGTTTAAAATAGTGTTGGGTGGGTACGAGTTTAAGGGAATGAGTGTGTGCGCAAGCTGCCGGCACATGTTTGTGCTTATTATGGTAACCAGCCTCACTGAGGTGAAAGCTCCAATTGTCTGGAATGAGTTGACAACCATCCGATGGAATGTTAAAAGTTGTTTCCAACTGTTGCGACAGAAGTTGAGCTTTATGTAATGTTTAACATAATATACATAAGCTTTCTAGTCTGGTGAGATCATTCGTTTGGGTTTAGGGCTTTGTTTTGTCTCTTTAGCCAAGTTCAAAGGTGTTTGGCATCTCAAATTCTTGCTTGACTTCTTGCTTTAAAATGTATTTCCATGAATAGTAAAATTCCACAACCAGTTAAGATCACAAACAAATTGAGTTTTCACTGGTAAGAAAATCTGTAACGGCATCACATCACCACGTGATCCAGGGAACATTGCGATGGTCCCCGTTAGGAAATATCGCTCTAACCGCGCGGCGTGTTGTGTAGGTACCAGCATGCAGTGGCTAACCCCGGCCTCATCACCTTCACTGGACCGTACCTGGATGTGGGCGGGTCAGGCTACGTTGTGACCATCAGCCACACCATTCATGCCTCCAGGTAAGAAGAAGGAGCCACAATAAAGTCTGGTATTTTGCTTATGAAAAGTCCACGTTTTAATATGAGACTAGTCATCGGCTACTGACTTACCTGGAATGACCAGTATCAAGTCAAATTAAAGGTCCACTTTAATAGCGCTTCTACACGCTAATACAAGTATGTCTTAAAAGCAGCATGATGCGTCTCCTTTAAGACGTAGTTTTTGCTATGAACCAAATGGCTTTGGTTGAGTCACAGTTGTATTCTAGGATCTGCTCTTCAAAGTCTCCTCAACATAGTCAATGTATTTCAGCAATAACCTCGAACGCTTGTGCAGAGGACTCAAGTATTATCCTGTAATTTGTATCAAAGTTACTTTGAATTGAAGTGTGTGACTCTGGCTGAGATTAAAGTGTTCATGTTTTGAGTTCAGCAACCTTAAAAAGCTCAAAACAACGCTTCCAGTTGCACGACAACAAGAGGTGTTTACCACGGGCCGTGCTATCGTACGCATAATCATTCAGCATCGATATGTGCAATAAATCAGGATTAGTTGTGTTGATGACCGGCTCAATGAGCATAACATTCCACAATTTGTAATCTGGGTACACACAGATTTTAAAGAAAGTGTGTGTATAGTGTTTAATATTAACATTTAGTTTGACAGGTGTGGGTAAATATCTGTGTATCTGTATAGCTTACTATTCTTTTTTTTAATTTAAATATATCTTTTGACTCCTCTCTCTCTGTTTAGCTCTCAGATGGCCCCTGGATATGCATTTGCAGTGATGGGCATAGACTTCACCCTCCGCTACTTCTATAAGGTCCTACTGGACCTGCTGCCCATCTGCAACCAGGACAAGGGCAACAAGATCAGGTAGGAAGACATTGGATTGGATCCTTGGCTGCTGACCATCTGAGTGAGCAAGCCATAATTAAACCTGCAGAGAGGAGGAGGCAGGACGTGATTGGCTGCTTATCGTGGCCTTCCTGCTGGAGACGTGGCACTGCCGCTGTCTCGGACCTTCATGCTTTCTCCAGCTTTGATGCCTCCCTTTTGCTTTTTGTTTTCTCTTCATCTTTTTTCCTCCTCCTGTGTCCCCTCCCCCGCGCTCTCCACTCCCCTCATGCTCTCTCTGCTGGTGTTCAGGAGCCGTGTAAAACCGGATTAGTTCAAAGGGAGTGGGGGACACAGTCTGAGTCGAATGTTTTAGGGGTGTGTTGGGGGGGGTAGAGTGGAGCATTGGGGTGGAAATGGGGGATCTCAATGCTAGAGGCCAATAAATATCACTTGTATTACTAATGTAAGCTATATATTTTATAGTGACCCCCTCCTACTCGTGTTTGTTCATTGTAGGTGCTTCATAATGGAAGACAGAGGGTACCTGGTCGCTCACCCCACTCTCATTGACCCCAAAGGTCACGCCCCTGCAGAGCAACAGCACATCACACACAAGGTAAAAGGGAAGGGACTAATGGACACACGCACATTTAAAATGCCAATGAGCTGCTTTCGTTCCTCCTGTTTTCATGTTTTGTCCTTTTTTCATCTCCCTCTCGTGTCCTCCCGTCTTTCTCTGTTGCCAGGAGCCGCTGGTGGCCAACGACATCCTTAACCATCCCAACTTTGTCAAGAAGAACCTGTGCAACAGCTTCAGTGACCGCACCGTGCAGCGCTTCTACAAGTTCAACACCAGTATCATGGTGAGTGAGGGAACCGCCGGATAACTAGACGCGTGCATGGCAGACGGGACTCACACACATGTGGTGGTATCACTCTGCCCCCTTGTGGTCAATTCCTGTATTCTGTAATTCTCTTAAAAATGTAGTGGTTTTTTTAAATTTATTTTGAGAGTATATTATTCCAATTTAAGCTCTACAGCTTTGACTTTATTAGGGTGACATATTACAAGACGTCATACTTTGATTCCCTCTTTTAGATTAGCAATGAACGTGTTGAGCAGAATTTCACAAATTCGAACTGAGTTTGTCTAAATACATCGCGTCCCTCACTAACTTTTATACTTTGGTTATGTGGTTTTCTCTTTTCTTGGTAAATATGAGGTTTTTCCATCTTCCTCTTTTTAGCTGTAGAAAAAGTTAAAAGTCATTCCTTGTCTTGTCTTTCTCGCAGGGAGACCTAACGAACCTGGTGCACGGTAGCCATTGTTCCAAGTACCGTCTGACCCGGATCCCCGGCACCAACGCCTTCGCTGGTATCGTCAACGAGACGTGTGACTCTCTGGCGTTCTGCGCCTGCAGCACCGTGGACCGCCTCTGTCTCAACTGCCACAGGTCTCCCCTCCTCCCGCACACACACTCACAACTGTTTCATCTAGATTACAAAACCTGAGCTACTGGAGATCCAGATCTGATAGTATAATGCTGCAGTAGCAACACGTACCATATGTACCATATGTGTGCATAGCTATATATAGCTACCAATTGACCTAAAACACAAAGGAAATGCAGCTTTCTCACTGAACTCGTGGCTATTGTTGTGTTTTTCAGAATGGAGCAGAATGAATGCGAGTGTCCTTGTGAGTGTCCGCTGGAGGTCAATGAGTGTACTGGAAACCTCACCAATGCTGAAAACAGGTCAGTGCAAAACAACACGTCTGAGCCTATAGAATAACTCTTCAGAACATGCTGTAGATCTTCACCACTCCTTGTACACAATAGGAGTCACTGGTACGCTTTTATATTGCTGTTTTCATCATTGGAACTGTGGCCATGTACGGGCTTTTCTTTCTCCCTCACTGTTTCTTTTGTCCTTCCAATCTCTCTCCATTGTTTTGCCCAACTCCTTTCATCAACCTTCAGAAGCTTGTGACAGCACGTCGACGTTTCAAATGCCAATTGCTCCTTTATTACAGGAAGACATGCAATTATGGAGGTTTTCTTGCTGTCAGATTTTTCCCTGCTTTGTGTCAAGCAGCATTATTGTTTGTTTTAAAGCTGCTTTGTTTAAATCGACACACTGCAGAGTTCCAGGGCTCCTGCTGTGATTTCTTTGGTTCTTAAATTGACTGTAGAGTACATGCTTTCCTGTGTAATGAGGTGTCATTCCGTTAGGGGTGTAACGATTCATTTTAACAACGATTCCATTCAAATAGCGATTCATGGTTGCCGATTCGATTCATGGACGATCTGGGTTAATTTAGAACGATTCAATTCGATTCAGTGACTTTAAATTGATTCAGTAACTTTACTGGACAGTGCAGGCAAAGTTTCCGAGATCCCTGTTGTTTCTTGTAAGGAAATCATTATAAACAAGCAAACACCAATAATGGCAAATGTATTAACCTTTTATTTGAATCAAGTGCCATTTTCAATGTAAACATTACACAATAATTACACAATGTTTGGATCAATTCACAGAACCCCGGATTTTCCACCACATTGTAGGGTCGCATGTCTTTACAGATAAACTTGGCAATTGTTACTGTGATGTTGAGTTTGGTGCTGGCGAGGCCTGAGGTGTCTGCAGAGCTGCAGTTACCTGCTGCTGCTGCAGCGGTGACGCTGCTAGAGGTCCTGACTGTCGGCGTTGTTTAATCCCACGGCGCCTTAGTAGATGGCCAGAAAGATTCGTCGTGTTTCCGTGGTTTTTATTTGTCTTCTACATATTCTACAAACAGCGACCGAGTTATTTAGAACACCTCCGTGTTTGCAAAAGCCCAAATGTTTCCACGCGCTGGATCGATAAGTTGGTTTGTAAATGTCTTGCTCGCAGTCGTCTCCTCGACGCTGTGTTTTGTTGTTGTTCCGAGTTTCGCGCGGCTGCCGCTGCGTACTGACGACGTCACAGACAGGCAGACTGAATCGAGTAACGTTCAACGTGTCTAAAGTGCTAAAAAACAAACAAACAAACACGCATCCATAGCGTTTTTGTACTTAAATCCAATGTGCAGTTACAATACCCAAGTATCGATACAATCGATTGTGTACCATTTCAATCGTTTTGTAATCGATATTAGTCACCCGGAATGCCAATTTGCAGAGCACAGATCGATTCAGTTGGATCGCAGGAATATAAATCGATTAATCGACTCACTGAATGAATCGTTATACAACTACATTCCATGATTTGGATGGATGTTTACAGTCGAAAGTTAATTCAATAAGTGTGTCCAAAAGTTTGACTGGTACTGTAAAACTGACTGAAAACCTAGCGTACCTGCACCTTTTTTGTATATTTTCCCCACATGTGTCTCATGATTGTGTTGTGTGCAGGAACCCGAGCTGCGAGGTGCATCAGGAGCCTGTCAGCCTGAATGTGATTGATTCCAGTCTGCAGGATACGCTGCCCCAGTGCATCAACACTCGCTGTAACCAGAGATACACCAGCAGGTACACACTATACTTCTCAAATGTAAATGAGCTGCTATAATGAATAAACCATTCCACGCATTAAGTATATGCCAACACACCAGACGCATAGGACAAAGAGTGTGTATCTAGCCTGAGCTTCACTGTGTATCTACAATAAATCTATGTGTTGGAAGTGCAACGGTAACAGACTCAAATCTTCAATTTAGGTTTTACTCGTATATGAAACCTTATTTAAACTGCTCAAACTATCTCTGTTGTCCTCGGAAAGATTATTTAACGCTTCGTCCTGTTCTAAAAAAGACAACTTGTTTTGCCCTCGAATAATCTTATTTCTATTTCTATTTCAGTGACTGTTTCGGTGTGCTGGACTGTGAGTGGTGCATGGTGGACAGTGATGGTAAAACTCATCTCGACAAGCCCTACTGTGCCCTTCAGAAGGAATGTTTCGGTGGCATCGTCGGCGCAAAGAGCCCCTATGCGGATGGCCTGGGAGTCCTCGGTGAGTGAAATGGGGATGTGAATGTATTCAGGTGGATGCTCATCAAACGCTTTTACTGGCGTAGAATTGAGAGAAATTATCCAGCTAACAGCGGCCAAACATGTCTCTTGGATGGATAATGTGTTGTGATTGGGATGTTGATGGGTCAAACATAACTGGTCATTCAAAATGTTTTGATTTGACCTTTTTTTATTCATGAGAATAAATTAACTTTTCTGTATAAAATAACTAGCTTTATTTATAACCATATAGATGTATATTTGGTATTAAGTCTAACCATTTGGCAGGACTCCCAAGACCCACTAGATGGCGCTCTGAGGCCCACCAGTGGTTGATAATAGCTGTTGTAAAGAAACCTGAAAAAAGCAGTCATCAAATTATTGACACTAACAACTTTATTTGTTTTAGTTCATGAATGAATGAATAATAACCGATAACCAATGTTTTGTTGGCTGGTTATTGGTCTTTCGTTTTGTTAGAAGTTGTTTCAGAATGAGATTTGGTCGTCTCTCTGCAGTTAAATGTTTCCCGGTGGCATTTCACACTTGGATCGGAGCCAGAGCGGTTTCATATTTGCTTGTTGTGTTTTCACTCATTCAGCCATCCAAAGTCCTTTTGTCATTTCTCCAATCAACTTTCTGCCTGTCTTGCTTCTGCTCTCTTTCTCCAGCAGACGAGGAGGTGGCATCTCTGAACATGATCAAGAGCGCCCCCGTGGGTCCGGTCGCTGGGGGCATTATGGGATGCATCATGGTGTTGGTGCTGGCCGTGTACGCGTACAGACACCAGATCCACAGGCGATCCCACCAGCACATGTCACCACTGGCAGCACAGGGTAAAAGACCAGATACATTCATGTAGTTGAATTCATAGGACAATCTAACTGGGACATAAACGTTTGTTAATGATTTGTTAACATGTTACCATGAACCTGTCGCGTCATTTCTGCCTTTGTAGCAGATTTGATTTGTATTTTTCCCCTGGTTGTCTTGTGGTGCCCATAATCGTTTATGAGCATTAATAGAAGCAGCGCCATGCAGCAGTTGTTTGTATTGAGCTCGACATTCGCTTCTATCTCTTTGAATACCAAAGGAAGGGACAAAGTTGGAAAGCAGCCTGGAACTAAACCGCTGACATCCGCTTAATGCAGCCGCAGCAGCAGCAGCATGATTTTACTGATGATCGAATCACTCAGCGTCATCGACATGAGAAATCAAACAAATTTGCATCCTTATTGAAACTCTCGAGTTCCGAGTCGGTTTGCGTCTGATGAAGAACTCTGGCTACCTGGAGCAGAGGGTAGCTGCATTATCACACGGCATTAGGCTGAGGAATTCTGTGTGTGTGCTGAGCGTGTTCAGCTGCAGCTTGTAGCAGCAACACATAAACACACACGAGCACGCTCACCTTGCACGGCAGCTGGATTCTCATCACGAGATCGCGCATGAATGGCAGGATGAGATATCTCACAAACGGTTCTGTGTGACGAGCCATCTGGCAGGTCGGATTCCGCCTCCACGGGCAGAATCTGCGGCGAGGTGACGCATTCTGGTTTCTGTCCGCAGGCCGAGTGGCTTCTGTTCGTACACGTCAACTCCAGGCTTGCATCTCGGTTAATAATCCCATCGCAAACAACCAGTCTTGATCCAAGCTTCACTGGATAAATATTTCCCTTAGGCTTATATGCCGTTACCCGGATAGCCGATGGGTTCTGAGATTGGGTTTGAGGTGACTTGCCGTGCCACATGGACTCCCATATAAAAAACTAGCCTTCCTTCTGGATAAAATCCCCACCAACACAAGATATTCTCCACGTACAGATGTTAAAAGAAACCCTGTACACATATAGTTCCTACCTCTCATACCATACTTCAATATATATCAATTATTTCACTTCCCCTTCACCTCCGCTGCTCCAGAAATGTCGGTGAGAATGTCCAACCTGGACAACGAAAGAGACGAGCGGGACGAAGACAGCCACGAGGACAGAGGAATCAGTAAGTATCTTTTGATACCCCGTTGATATAAACCACACATGATACAGAACATTTAAAGAGGTTTTGAGTGTATACCAGTACTAAACGCGACCTTTGACCTCTACGTTCTCCCCACCTGCAGTCAGTAACACTCGGTTCATCGCTGCGGTGATCGAGCGGCACACTCACACGCCTGAACGGAGACGGAGGTACTGGGGTCGATCCGGGACAGAGAGTGACCACGGTAAGACAGAATGTCCCCAATTCAAGAGTTGATATTAAGCGACAGGAAGCTCCAAAAATATCTTTGGCCATTGTTTTGTAGCAGACTGTATACTCCGGTCTATGGGAATTACTAACCTGTTTGATAAGACTTTCCCATCCTGTCAACCCTCTAGAGGTCAAATGTCATCATGTTCAGCTCGCCATGGAGGTTGTTTTCAAAATAATACCAATTTCTGGAGATGTTCTGCTAACATGTTGCCCTACACAGCATAAGCATGGATATATTATCTGCATCAATGTCCATACAACCATGTAGACTCAACTGAAGACACCAGTTCTGCAACAAAACGAAGGGGGCAGATTGAACCACTTTTGTGTGTGAACACATGTAGCTGTGGGCGGGGACCTCGGGCAGAGAGAGCAAATGTCCCATCTGGTGTGAGAAGGCATCAGGATCCCTAAGAAGGAGCTGGAAAATGTGGGCCGAAGTCTTTGTTACATCCCGTAACATTGGGCCACACATACTCGGGCCCAGAGGCGCAGCAGAACTCCAAATAAATGACACGTTTTCATTCATAAATGTAGCAACACTCAAATGTCAGATTTGGGGTAAAATATATTTTTCTCAGCGGTCTCAAATCCGGAGCTAGGTCTCCGTTCTTGGTCGCGGTTGGGCTACTGTCCTCTTCACGTCCCGATCAGTCTGACACGTGGACGGACAGGTTCCCCCACGCGTGGCATCGCTTCCTGGCAGCGAGTGCCTCCGATGTTTGTTGTATAACTGACGAGGAGGAATACGAGGAGAGCAGAGTGGGCTGAAGGGACACTGAGACGAGTACGAGCTCGTCAGCTGCCTGTTACAGTTTGGATGTTCAACCAGAGAGAATACAAGGAGGAAACTTTTTTTCTTTTCTTTTTTTTTCAATTTATTGGTAAGATGAGCTCATCTTTAGCGAGTCTAGTTGCATTTCACCTCCCCTGCATGAAAAAATACAGATTAATTCAGTCAAATTTTCTAAAGCTAAATCTTTGGACTGTTTAAAGGGAATGGTGCCAAATAAATGAATGTCTTTATTCGGGAATTGACATCTGAATTTCTTTCACATGTTGTAAGAGAAGCATAAACAGGGACTCATATCTGCTAATAGAAGGAGCAGTCTGAGCGAAGGGACAGAAAAGATCACATGACACTAACTGAGAATGGAAACGAAAAAAAAGGAAGATGGAAATGTAGAGATGATGAAAGACGGGAAATGAAAAGATAGGACATGAGGACGGTAACATAAGAGGAAGAAGAGTTTGAAAGAATGGACAGGTTAGTCCATCAGGCATGAGAACAAATGCATTATTACCAAGTGCCCGTGTCACAGTTACTGCTCCTGCCTCCTACCACAATCCACTCGCTCATAATGCTTGAGTGTATGTTAAAACGCACACTCACACACATGCTCCATGCAGTTCACTAAAGGAGCAGGGCATTAAATATGGTGAGTGCGTGACGCACACTTACAGAGTGCTGTTTGGCAGCAGGCAATGGCAGAGCTACCCATTTAATAATGAATAGCCCACTGTGCATATCGTGTGCATACAGAAAATCACCCGCTTTAATCTGCACGCCCGAACGTTATAGAGGTTTGCCACTGCGACGTGCAGTGAATTTTAGACAGAAGAAGTTGATGTTTTTTTGTGTTTGAGAAGAAGTTTAGGATTCGATAAACTTTCAAACTAACAACTTTAGTAGTGACATGCTTTTAGAGCTAAATGACAATAAAAGGAATACAGAAATAAGATCAATATTTAATTGGACTACTGCTGTATAATTCCTGGATTGGGTCTCTATATTAAATAGCATTAGTTTGACATGATGTGATTGGTCCAGCTAATCTTAAGAGAATCAGGCAGGGAAACCACGGGGCAGTCTTCTCACTCTGACAACAGGATTTTAGGACATCCGGGAAATTTAATTAGTTTACATGGCGCCATATTATGGGACATACCCACTGTCATAGGACACTATCATGCTCTATAGTTAAGATAAGCTCCAATGACTTCTCTTATGATCTGGCGCTATATGGAAAGTAGAATGAAACCAAATGATCCAGACCCTCCAGAGTGGGCATGGCGTCCCCCTTATATAATGGTTGGGGGAACACTACATTGTTAGCATTCTGATGCCTATAAATATCGCATGTAGATGTTTCTGTCATGCAGAATATTGCCGGCGTCGCTTCAGATCCTAAAAAACACGGCACTAAAGAAATTAAGGAAAATGGGTTCATTCCTAAATCAACTCCCAAATATATATAATTATATAACTAGGAGCTTGCATATATGGAAATACGATGCTGGAAGGGCACATGATTGGTACTCTCAGGCTTCACAAACTTAGATTGTGTGTTGGTAAAAAGTCTGTGTGCTTATTTCTCTGACCCTGTGATCTCTTTTTTTCTATATCCACAGTTTCGCCCTCCCACTGCTCCACTTAGCCGTGAATCTTAACTGCCATGTTGGCTTGTGTTTCCATCTCCTCGGGTCAAACATATGTGTGCAATGTGTTTGAAATAGTCATGAATATGTATGCATTTTTTTCAAATTGTATGAGAAGGCTCAACACAAGGAGCAAAAAATAGCCTTTGGGAGACATTTATATGTCAATGCGCCATCAAAGAGCCTGGGCTGCTTTTTAGATATATTGTGCGCCTCACCAATCCGTGTTGAATGTCAATGACTTGCGGGCGACATTTGTTCAGTAGTTTCTTCTGTCTTCCCATTTCCTTTCAATGTTTTACAGCTTCATTCTTTTCTTTTTTTTGGGTGTGGTGGTTGATGTAAGAGTGATTAAAGTCCAGTAATACCAACCTCTGCGTTTAATTGTCTGCAGGCTACAGCACCATGAGTCCGCAGGAGGACAGCGAGAATCCACCGGGGAACAACGACCCGCTCTCAGCCGGAGTGGACGTCGGTAACCACGACGACGACCTCGACCTAGACACGCCCCCTCAGACAGCGGCGTTGCTCAGCCACAAGTTTCACCCCTACCGGCACACGCATGCGCACCACCACCCGCTGCACATGCACACGCACCACCTGCAGGCCGCGGTCACCGTGCACAGCGTGGATGCAGAGTGCTGATCGGCGGCGCTGCGTTCGCCCCTCTGCCGGGGAAGGAACTTGTTTTTATATTAAGAAAAAAAGGACAATTTAAAAAAAAACATTTTTGCTCGATTAGTAGGTACCGTCAGGATTGACGGACGGAGAGAGAAGCGACAGCTGAACTCGCACCGTCAAAGCCGCTGGGAACTTCTCCATCATTTGACGTTTAAATATGGGTGTTCGCCTCATTGTCTCGTTGTGCCAACCTTTCATTTTGAACCCCCCCCCCCCCTCAGCAGAGGGCACAAAAACGCAGTTTGAGCCAGTTGACTGAGAAGAGGACACACCTGGAACCTAAAATCCTGAAGGAAGAAGGGATGCCTTCATTTCAAACCTGAAGGCCGTAGAAGATACTAATATGATCACATTAAAGTGGAACTCTAGATGCTGAGTGGACCCCAACATCCCCACTAAGGGGGGCCGGAGGGGACCAGAGCCGCCTCCTTCTTTGTTAAACCGTCTCAAATGAAGATTACAAATACTGTATTTTTACATAGACTGGGATCTAATATGGGATTCTATTACAGCTTTATTCTCAGTTTTGTAGATCGACACTCCTCAGTTTGTGTTCTCTGAAAGATATTAGGACATTGTCACAAGTGTCCAGAAAGAATTCAAATAACTACAGGAAGACACTTAAAGGAGGAAAAGATTATTTTTCTACTATTTATTGAAGATGCAGATTTTCCATGTCAGATAAATAGCAGCAGCAAACAGAACAAGAAAGTAGTCAGAACAAGCAAAATGTAACAACCCCAATCTATAAACAATCATAGCATCATATAGCAGATATTTGCAGATCATTATTGTTACTTATTAAACAGCCATAACTGTTTTTTATTAGAATTCTGAGTATATCTAAGGGCAAGATTTTACATATTTTTATCAGTTAATTTCTTTCCATTATATTGAGGGTTCATAATCCTCAAAAGCCCATTTGGATTTAATTTCCATTACTCTTTTTGACCAGAGGTTTATTCTGAGCCATTATGTTTGCCATATAGCGTGTTTAAGTGTTCTTTTCCAGCTGGAAACGTTGTATGGATGTGCAGGGACCTAAAATCTAAATAAGAACGGCTCTTTTCCAAAAGAATCTATTTTTTCGGTAAAGGAAAAAAAATCCGTGGGCCTTAAGTGACTTCCCGTCCGTCAGAGTAGCAAAGACAAAGTGGTCATTGACACATTTTCCTCTCTGTATTCACCGAATACAGAAATCCCCCGAATCACTGAGCTCTTGGTGTAACTGTAAGGCAAGACGTGCTGCACTGGACGTCCTCATTCTGGACGTGTCCTCTGCATCGGGAGGCAGAACGCGATACGGCCCTTGGTCTTTGTGAGCCTCCTGGGGATGGAGGGAGGGACAAGTGACACTCCACGCCAGGAAAACATTCCCGGGGTTCGCCAGCGCTGGAGATTTGGTGCGTGAGGACAGTTGGGGGACCCTCACAACGGCTTTGAGAGATCCACACTAATCACAGTATAGAAAGCTCCAGTTGTACCAGGACTTTCCCCCCCCCAAGGCCGAGCTGATGCTGCGCCTTTGTTGAGCTTGTGTGCTGGATGTGGCGCAGAGCAAGAGGGATTTCTGGGGATGGAGTCTCCTTCTCATCAATAAGAGTGAAAGGTGGGGAGAAATGCTGCTGTTGGTCGGAGGTTACGCACATCTGGCAACTCCTCTGTGGTTAACCACTCCCGATGTATTTTCTATGTGTCTGGTTTGTGTGCGTATGAGAGAGTGAGTGAGAGTGCGATTGTGAAGAGATACTGTTTATCCACCTGGAACATTTTTATTGAACGCGTTGTATTGTGTGTTTTTTTTTTTTATAACATAGCATTTGAGAATTATAGTTGGAATTATTATGAGTAAGCAATCCACTATTCCGATGAAGATTTCCTTTCGAACCGATCTGTGCTTTGTGGTTTTGATTGTTCAACTGGTCAAAACGGTTTATGTTTGACATCCATTTTCTTCTGGGTGAAAACGTGTCTATTGTTTGTGTAAATACTGAATCAATATAACATCCTTAGCGATCCATTTTTTCATGTTGGTCAGACATGATTTGTGCCTCATGACGCTCAAATATTTGGGTTTAATGTTTGAAATGGTTTGTTCCTGGTGTCTCACTATATCTTGATGCCTGGGATGTTTTTTAGATTCATTTTTCTTTAGGTCCATATTGGATGGAAGTCAGTTTTTGGAAACATTTATACACACACTTTTTATGTTTGAGATACTTCTAATTTTATATCATGTGTCTTCAAAATATTAAAGAAAGCTCATCTTTCCATGGACTTATTTAGATTTTCTAAATAAACGGTACTACATATTTTTACGAGTAATGACCAGACAGAAGATTCTATTTGTTGATTCAGGGTTTACGGTCAGCTGCTGTAAGCTTTGCCCTAATTGATCAAGTACTACTCAAGACTGTCACACACACTCATTCAGTTATTTGAGTGTTCGTCACTTTAATTTGGCTCTTTACTGTTTAGTGCATATTAATGTCAAAGTAGCCCTGTTTTTGAACTTGGACATGTATATTCAGTTAAATACTCAACTCGAGGCTTGACTGACATGAATGTTTAACGTCACGTGAAATGCCATCAGACCATTTACTGTTGGATGTTCGACCATAAACAACATGTATTTACTCGCACACACCTTCCCATCGTACTTCGGTAGCTTTTCTGGGCATATATTTGGATACGTGTGTCAATTTTGGTCAAATAATATTTTTTTTTACTAAATTGTGTTTGTTTTTCAAACCCCTCTTTTCCTGTAGAACAGTATTTACCAGCTGTGTGTGTGTGTGTGTGTGTGTGTGTGTTTGTGTGTGTGTGAGAGAGATACTTGCATTGATAAATGTACTGAAGGAACGTGTGCATCAACCCCCCTCATGTATCATATAAAGGTTATCAAATTGCGATTTATTGCAATGTGAATGTGATAAAGTCCATTTTACACTTTAAGTATCTGTTTTGTTCTTACGGAGCACGGCGGGGCCGCACTGCTCTTTGGGGGCTTCGCATTTCAAAGTAAGCTGCGCCTCGGTGCCTTGCTCTTTTAAATGTGGCTCCACTGATTCATGTTCACTCACCAGCGAGCTGCTCCTCATTAGTTCTGCCATGTCACGTCTGCACGCCGACGCTGAGCAGATCGCACACACGGTTTCTAATGTATGTAAAAACAGCTGCGGGTTGTAGCCTTATTGAAATCATTTCTTTAAAAGCCTCTCTGGCTTGTTTTTACTCACCTGGCCGTCCGGCACACCCGCACCTACACTCCAAATGGCGCCGCTCCTCAGAAGCCTTTTGGCCTTTTTTGCCCGACCCAGAAACTAATGTTAACCGCTGTGATCTTTTGCATGTCCAGTATGTTTTATATGCAAAGGTTTATGCTTTTTGTTGAAGGTAAAATGTCGGAGAGTATTAGCCGCTATCTTGGTGAACGCAACTTTTCTTACTTCAAGAAATGTGGTATTTCCGGCTGAAGGCCAGACAGGCGGCTCTTGGCTCAACGGGGGGAGGGGGTGTTTCGCTGTGTTGCCATTTGTGGGTGAATAGTGGTACATGCTGCCTGGAAGACCCCATCAGTTATTTATGAAGCCTTTCTGTACATACAGCATTTCCTGCCAGGGGGCCTTGGAGAACCATTGTGTAGAGACACCGTGTCACAACGTCGTAATGTTGAAAATGATACCAGTCTGCTTGAGTTTGGTTGGGGGGGAATAGGTGAATAGGTTGTGTTTTAATTGTTTTATGGATCTTTTTTTAGTCAAATTAATTTCCTATTCTAGAGGTTATTAAAGCAAATCGGCTGCATTCACATACTCCTGTAACAGTTATTATTAAAAATCATTATTTTATATTATTTTATTAACAAATGGTCCTCGCATTATTTAAAATATTCATATTTCCACCCCAACCCCAGATGGCTCATGATTAAGACCCCCCCCCCCAAAAAAAATCTATAAAATTATATATATTAATATAGAACTTCTGGTAAAGTTTCAATAAAACCATATGAATATATCATCATAAAATACTACAAAAAAATATACGGTTCAATAAATTGTCTGCTTGAAATAACCATGTTTATTTGTATTAATAAACATAAATGGTAAATAAAGGTTTGGTGTGATGTATCACTGCTTATTTAAGAGTGGCTGCACTAATGTGATGCAACCAAACGGATAGTTTCCCCTTGAGGTGGGACGTGACAACAGAAGGGTGTTTACTGAAAACCAACATGGAGGTAGTGCAGCAGCGCCGACGGAGGGCCGGACTTCTTTGCCCTTGTTTCTATCAGCCTCCCTGTCCGCCATGAGCCGTTGTTCAGCATTGATCCATTCCACACAGACAAAACCTTATTTCCCTCTTTCTCACCGTCACTCCGTCTCGCGTACTCTGCCTCTTCCTGTCAAGCTGTCTGCTTCTCCCTGCCAGGGAATCGCTGTGAATTAGAGCACCGCGCTCGGTGTCCAAGCTCCCTCAGGTCATTTCAGTCACTCTCCGCTCTGCCAAATGGTACAGCAGACATGCACCAGCAGCATATTCCGTGCTGTCCGGAGTCCCAATTTCCCAAATCCATCTCGACACTGATCACCTCGAGTCTTGCATGTAAGCAATTCCAAAGGGCTTAAAAGTAAATCACGCGTTTTGCTAGAAACAAAGAATCTTCCAAAGGATGAAATTCTCAATGATCTGCTCAACGGTACTGTACACCGATACGGTTCTCCTTCCACGTTAACTTCATCCATAACATCTAATGAGAGCCTCCATATGGCTCCAGGTTTATGAAAAGAATGGAATACTGGCACCTTCCTTGCTCCAGATTTAACTGCTGTGCACAGCAAGTAGCTTCCCTGACGCAGTGGCGAGGAGGTCTGCTTATGACCGCTGTAATTAGGACAAGAATTGGGAAGGGATCTCTTGTGCATATCGTCCAGTGTGTCCAGGTCAGCTCTTATTAGTAGGTCACACCTCCCTTAATCTCCATGATACGGGAAAGGAAGCTGTCACCAGAGTGGTGGTCGTTTGTAAGTGCAGAGCAGAGGCTCCAGTCCACTTTTATACCTCCAGACACAAGTGCAGGAGCGAGGCATCCATGGTCCCAATGCACCAATCATACCCCCCCCCCCCCCCTTTTGTAGGGGCTCACCGTCAACTCCCACGCGCCATGGACCAATTAGGGTTCAGCCCCCCCCCCCCTCTCCCTCTCCTCCCGTCCTCACGCCTACGGAGCTGATCTCAGGTGGCTGCTTCGCCCGTTCAGCCACTCTGCCCACCCACGCACTCACACTCAGTCCCAGCGAGCAGCGGCGAGCGCTTCTCCTCCTCCTCGCTACACCCACCCACCCACTCCAAAAGGCCGTGAATCACTGGCTGACACGCTGGAGCGCCAGCAGGGCTCTTGTGTTTTTAGATGGAGAGGGACTAACATCTCTCTTTCCCTTCACTGTTACGGGGTTTGACGGGTATTATGCTTTGAGAGGTACAGTCACTGTAGGCTTACTTGAGTGAATGTGTGTGTGTTAGAGTGTGTCTGTGTTATATGGAATGCATTTGTGCCAGTGGGACTGAAAGAAAAGTTCTCTAATGAAAAGTTTTATTAGCACTTAGCGGAGTAATTCATGCATCCCCAAAATCAGGCAAGTGTCAGGCGAGTCCTCGCTGTATAGTCAGAGAACCTCTGCTCAATGAGTCATGTCGCCTGTCATCTGTCTGACTGCTGACTTCACCTGGATGCCTTTCAAGTGCAAGAAACAAAGTCTTTGTTTCAGCTGATTGCAATTGGACGGAAAAAAGTGTCTCGCATGTGTACAGGACGAGTCAGTATTATGATAAGGACAGAATCATAAGAGTAAAACAAGATATCCTGCTGTACTAGGAATCAAATTAAGCCCCGACTGTTCTAGTTTAATCAAGAAACAGTTTTTTTTTTTTAAATGTTCAAAAATTCCCCAGACCCTACAAAGATGATCATTCAATGTACTTCACACAACAGCAAGTTCCCCAACATGAGAATGTGAGGCAAACTTGCGATGGACTGGCGACCCGTGCGGTTTGTATCCCGTCTCCCTCCCAACGCCAGCTGGGATGGACTCCAGCCCCCCTGCTACCCGCTAAGGGTGAAGCAGTTATCCAAATACTACAAGATTTATTTTCTGAAGAGCAGCTAATTGATTAAAAAACTCACATAGTGAGCTCATCTGTCATCGTTACAACTGGAAAGCCAGTATCATCGCCTTCTGGAGGAAAACACGTCCTTCGTGTGTGTTTCATCATGTTGAAGGAGAGTTTGATATGCAGTAAGAGTGTTTAGCTCACGTAATACTGAGCAGAATCAAGCTGATGCACGTGTTGAATCTTTCACAGGAAATATGAAAAAATATGCGGTTCATCCTCTACTCCCTCTGTTTGAAATGTCAGGAGATGCCCTTTTCTCTGCACGGACTCCCCGCTCTTGAGTGGACTTGAAGTGTGAACTCGATTGCAGCGTTCATACAAACGGCCCATTTACAGTCGAGGTGTGCGCGAGTTCCACCGGTTCAGCCGCTTGGCAACATGAGATAATTTTCACCCACTGACAACTGTGATTGTCTGGACTCCAATCTGCCAAGAAACACTTCACGCAGATGGCGAAGAAAGAGAGAGAGAACATGGAGGCCGGATGATGGCGGTTGATTTCACCGTCTCTTACGGGCCGCGGCGTAATCATTCTAAATATTTCCTCCGGTGGGTTGATGTGTTGCTGACATGTTTGTGGGCCTGCACGAGTGTGAATGCGTCCTACGAGTGTGTGTGTGCGCGTCTGTCAGCGACTCATGCAGCCTGCGGAAGCTACGTAGGCATTGTGAGGACTCGGCAGGGAGCTCTGCTCCATTTGTGTTTGCCAGGAGCAGCTTTCCACCCACGGCGGGAAGGCGAGCGGGAACGGTTGGCATCCAATGGATGACTTGGGTAGAAAGGCAGGCAGCGATTCGTGGTTCTATTAATGGGGGGTAAACGGGAAAGCTACGCTGGTTTGGAGATATTCTCCATTGGAGGCCAAAAATACAGTTTACATATATAGAAAAACACTCGGCACTAGTGCATCTTGGTTGTCTTCTTTCTATTCGGCAAACAGACGACCCATGTGAACTATTACCAACTGCGCTGTCCCTATTTAACCTAAAAAAATTAATAAAGGATATAATGAAATCAATTTTCTTAAAAAAAAGTTTTGCATGGAGATTTATTTATTCTCTGCCGGATCCTTTATAACAAATGGTATAAAAAGAGGTATGTTTAACGTGGTCTTTATTCTTCCACTAACAGTGATGTGATTAATCCTAAAACATCACGTCCAACCAAACAAAATAAGCAGCAGTGAATCAAAACACACGGTGATTCTGCAGGTTGATGACACCTCCAGAGAATATTTAAATCAAAGAAAAATAAATACTTTTCAGCAATAAAGGAGTTTTGTGCGAGATGTTTAACCTTTCTCTCTTTCAGACCCGCCTTCCACCTGCTCTCCCCCCCCCTCTCTCGCTTTCTCTCCCTCCCTCTCTCCCTCTCTTCACACTTTTCACTCAGCCACTCAAGATGGCGGCAGCGCCATCCATCCAGCCGCCGGTCGTCCCCGCTCCTCTAGCCGGGGAGAGCGCACTTTCCCCGGAGATGAACAGCCCGGAGAGCCGGCAGCCGGGGGATGAGGAGGCGGCGGCGGCGGCGGCGAAGCCCTGCGACCCGGAGATGAGCTTCCGGGACCTGCCGGACCTGGAGCCGGAGGAGATCGAGAGGAGGCTCGCCAGAACTCGCCAGGAGCTGAGCAACAGGAGGAAAATCCTCATTAAGAACCTTCCGCCCGACACCACCAACCAGGTACGCGTTACTTTGGGGAAATAAGTGCGCCGCAAAGTAGTGCGTCGCACCGGCGCACTTTCAAAGTGTTGGCTGCGTTTTGTTTCGCTCTGCAGGACATTATTTATTAGAAGCCACGCGTCTAAAAAGAACTTGTCTTTAAAGTTACAGGTTCCTGGTGATCCAAAGGCTTTTGGCCAACCAGCTGTTTGTTTTTCTATTGGCGTTCAAACAAATAAGCTGGTGTCTAATTTATTACGCAGCCACGTGCCTTTACTGTCCTCCTCCCACCTAAATGCTCAATTAAGCCCAATCGCACATCTTAAAACGGATGTTTTCTACGTAAACCCATTAACCTAAATCGTTTTCCTGATGTTTTGTGATCTGAATTGACTTTTAAACGTCCTGCGCACCTGCACCTGCTCAAAGGGCTGATGAGTTCTTTCTTTGCAGCGAGACGAGAGACGGATGAAGTCTCCTGCTTTTTGTCCTTCACGTTTACCTGTTAACACAAGTTATCAATGCACTTTTTCCGAAGTCAACCTTCAATATGATGTTTGGCAATATAATTTATTCACATTTGCAACTGCCACTAGATAATTGGATATTTTCACCGCATTGAGCAGTTGTGGGAAAAATGGTGCAATTAAATGCGTAGATGCTTTTTCCATTATCAGTTAATGTAACATCTGTTGTTGTTCTGCTTCTGCGTCGTTCCCTCAGCATACATTTTAATATCCAACGTGTACAATAAGAAACTGACATTTTACCAGCTCCTTTGCTGAAAGGAAAGTGTTCCGGACAATGAAATAAATCCCTCGTGCCACTTGTTTTATTTAATTATTGTTGCAGTTATTACTATTTCATCTACTTAAGGCTGTTGCAGTTTATTTTTGTAATACGCGAGTTCTTACACTACATGCTCAGTACATTCTTAGAAAGAGACCAACTGCCAAGGAGAACCTGGGCCTGCTGTTTGTGCGTTACGCTGCATTTATACAGATTATCACACGGTTCTGTGGCGGCGTGAGTCCCTTAAAAGGCTCGACGCTGCTGGTACGTTGGATGCCATGTTGTCAGCCTCGACAGTAATTTGAATAACTAACCAGGATCCCGGCCTCGGGTGCTCGGATTGAGTGACTAAAAGCGTCGTCTGCACGCCGCCCCTTCGTCCCGTGGGCGTCTTTGGGTCCACACAAAAGGGCCACTGCACGACTTCCGTTTCTCCAAAAGTACTGAAACTGACGTAGAATGCAGAATTCTTTTAGTCCCCGACGCCACAGCTAAATTAACAACCCACTTGAAAGAACGGGAGGACTGGTGTTTTGGCAGCAACGCCTGGTTTGGTATGAATGTGGCCTTCAGGGAGCCTTTTGGGGTTTTAATTGTCTTGATAATATATATTTTTTCCATAGAGAACGTGAATATTACGTGGTGGAAAGTTTGATTTATCCTAGCTTTCTTTCACCTGACAATCAACAAATCCCGTTTGTGCGGAAAAGACATATCCATAAATGACCCTACAGTGTACAACAACAAGGATGCTCTCAGTCCTTATCAGTATCTTTATTACCCCTGTCAACCTCGAGAAGAAACTCAATAAAATAGCTTTCAGTAGCCCGGGCTCCTCGACAATTAAGCTCAGGCGGGCTTCCAGGCGCTGCTGTGGTCGGTAGTGTCCCGGCAGTCGGTCCACGGCCTGCTCGCAGCTATTCCAACCCTTAATTGAAGAAGTGTGCAGTGCAGCTGTTGCAACATTTGAAAAAGCGTTTGTCATGAGTAGATTTGACGGTTGTATTTTTTTTAAGGAGAATCAACAGTCCCTCTGCAGAAGAATAGAAGGGACGGACACTATTCTCTCTCTCTGTCCTGCTCTGAATCTCCCTCCTTATTGGCGGGTCAGAAGCAGTGTGATGTGTTTTGTGAGCTCGAGCGGAGCAGTCGGGTGAAGCTCCGCTCAACACGAGCATGAAGGTATCCATCCAAAGGATCCTGCCCATCGACTGGCAGTCACACTGTTGAAGCTCACGTATTGTATCTGTGCAGGCGTTTCAGCCATGTGGCTGAGGAGTGATTTGACAAAACCTTTTAAAATACTGTTACCATCAAATGTTGTTGTTGATCTTGTGGTAAATGTGCCAATTGCCGCTGTGGTATCTGCTGGAAAGGCTCCAGAGCTGCTGAGTGATGTCCCAGGTCCTGTAGCCTCAGCTTATGTATCTATAATTCAATGATTATTTGATGGCCAGGAAGATTAAAAATGACATTGATAGGAAACCCTCACAACAATCCAGCTTCTTGAATGTAAGGTTTGGCAGTGTTGTGTTACCTTACAGTGTCTCCCATAAGGTTATAGATTCAAGTCGTCTTCACTGTCTCGTATAACTTGTCTGATGGACTCGCCCATCCGGCTCCCTCTCCCATTCCTCTCATACCCGCTGCCCCATTAGCGAACGCCGTGTCGTAGATTGGACTTGTGTGTGTGTGTGTGTGTGTGCGTGTGTCAAGAGACGATGGCTCACTGTGTTTAATATACGGCCCCTCTGACCCCCCTCGTCCCAGAGAGAACGGAGAAAATCGTGCAATGAGACGGGAAGACAGAAGAGTTGAGTGTGGTGAAAGGCTCCAACACTTTCAAGTGACTAAATAATGTACATCTTCCAAGTTGGGGAAGCCGGTCCAAGGTCTTGGTGCACAGCTGGGGTGAAGGCAAAATTCTCGCCTTCATCTCCGACTCAACTTGGAATTAATAAAAAAAGAGAGTGATGTTTAAACAAACCCTATAGGACGTTGTGTGAAAGCATATTTGCAGATGCTTTGCAGGGTAAAATAATATTGCATTTGTTGTGTTCGCTTCCAAGGACTTCTGATGAGTCTGAATTATTATCTCAGAAACACACACAAGTTCTGCAACATGTGGATGTTTGTATGTACTTAGAACAGCTGTGTGTTTGTGTGTGTGCGTGTACAGGGGTGTTTGCATGTGCACAGGTAAACACGGATACATGTAAATGTCACAAAGCAGCGTGTGCCAGAGCTGTTTCTATCCACCCACTTCCTCCTCTCCCTTTACATACTGTGTGTGTGTGTGTGTGTGTGTGTGTGTGTGTGTGTGTGTGTGTGTGTGTGTGTGTGTGTGTGTGTGTGTGTGTGTCACCGTTCACTGGCATTACCTCAAATTTCCCAGATGTTGGTGCCCCAATTATGCTGCAGGCATTCAAGACACACTTGTTTGACTCATTACTGCAACCCGGACAGACCAGTAGGCTGATGCAGCCCTTCTTTTGGGTTCGATGATGAGCTGTACTCGTGACCTCCTGTGGCTCCTATGCGATGGCAGAGAGGAGGAGACGTGATGTGGATAAACTCCAGATCTGGAGATTTAGATCCGGAGGCTTATTTTCATACACGGTACATAATGGTGCAGAAAAAGTCTTCGTTGAACCAGAGATACACTTTCATGTAGACTACTAAAGAGTAATCATGGCTGCTGACATGTGACAGCGAGGTCAGTGTGATGTAGAACAGGTGGCTGTTCCGGATCCTGCTGGCTTCCTTTTGACTGGAGCTCAGGATCCGTTGATGCAGCAGCAGAAAAACAGATGATTATGGTTTGATACACACGGGGAACCTGATGATTACACAGAAGACGCATATTTTAATTGATGTTTGACTATATATGAACGTAAACTCCTGTCATTGGATCCGTTGATAAAAGAGGTCAAACAGAATACAAGAGGAGGCCTTTCCGAGTCCCACTTGTTACCCATGAACGTAAAAGCATACAGCAACTATAGCAAGCAATGATTAGGGAGCAGAAAGGGCTCATTGCTCAGACTGATGGATTTCAGTTTCATCCAGTGAGATGCCGGTGGCAGAGCCAGTTATCAGCATGAACCCATCCATCCTCCCACACGTCAAAGGGTTATTTTTATAAATCAATTTCATATTTATATTCTACCAATGGGGAGCAATGGGATCTGCCATTCTGTCAGGTTAAAAAAAAGAATACAAATGTCCCTATAGTAAGCACAATACAAAAAGAGAACTTTACTTGCATTTATTAATAAAGTCCACCTGTCAAAATGCAACATGTTACAACGCGTATGAATAACAACAAACTGTCTCCGAGCTTCTCTGCCAGTCTCCACACATCCCTGCGGTTGCAGATTGGCAGAGATTGATGCAAAAGTACTTCAACATGCCCAAAATGGATGATAATGCCAATGAAAAATGTTTCTTCAACAGCTTATAGGTTATTTTATGTGGACGATAATATTTAACACTTCATCTCATACGGAGGGAAAATTCTCGCCCTCAAATACTTCACACCTTCTGGTCGATTGGCTGTAGAAATAACAATATATTTGGTTGTCTACAGTCCTATTGTGGTTGCACTTTAATTTAATTCATTTGACTTCATCATTTGTAGTTGCGTAAAAAATTCTGAGGGAAAAGAGAAATGAGATTGATGGGAAGCCCAAGGACAGGGCGAAGGTTGAGAAAGATGAAGGAAGTGAACCGAAGATCAATAAAAAAACAAAACAAGGGATCCCACCAGAGCAGACCGCGGTTGTTAGGCTTAAGGTGTGACACCTCTTGGGATGTGCCTGAGAGAGACCGGACCAACAGAAAAAGAGATCTCTGCACTTGTCTGTATGTTTGTTCATCTCTTGTCAATATGCAAAGATGCATACATTTTCAGCTCTCCTGGGAGGCATTCAGTGCTCTGCATGGTTTGAGCCACCTGTGTCACACACACAAAGCCTGGCGTGGACCAAGTAGGGAAAAAATATTTTTGCAATGAATAAGTAGCACATTCTTAAACTGTGTTTCCCTCCCAGACGGCAGCAGCTTACTCTGCTTATAAAAGTACAGTACTACTAAAAGCATTGGCATTAATGCAGTGCTTGCATTACCAAATGTGAGTCATGAAAATTGTGCTCTTGCGACACCAATAGTTGTCGTGCCGTGGTGATGTGTGAGGCATTCTGTTCGCGTCCCCCTCTGTGGCACATTTCAGTGCATCAGTGGGTCAAGGACACAGTCACTGCTGGTAAGGAGGCCATGCAGTTTGTGTTTGTCCCCTAAACGTCAACAGGTGTAAACACATGTTCCTCTGTCACTCTATCCTCTCACCTTCAGTTTGCATCACCTTGTGCACTTTCCACTGCACACGAGTCCGTTAGAGAGACTTACAAAGTGCCACAGAGGAATTAAAAATATCTAAACTGGCAAACAGGCTGACGGACAGAAGGATCCAAAGGCTATTTGTATTTGGTTTGCTCTTTATTTATAGGAAATTCAGAGTAGAGCTGGTTCTGAAAGGACAGTTGAGAGTTCACTGAAAGTGTAATCTACACTCACCTGTGACATTTAAAGGGGAGAGGTGCTCATTTTTAGGTGTGTGCTGGTTGTGTAGCGTTTGGGCTTGGACATGTCCGCGTGTCCACAATCGTATGTTCGAGTAGCTGTGTCTTTTATTTTTCTTCAAACAGAAAGCTGGATTTCAATGAAAATACAGTCAATAGTTTGGCAGAGACTTCAATGTTTGAATGAGGTGCGAAGAGAAGCCTTCATGTTGCACGTGATTATTAGTGCACAGTCCAAAAAAAAGAGATTAGAGTAAGAGGGAAAAGAAGGGGAATGCTTTCTGTATCATATCTACAAAGTGCATTTAGTGTGAGCGTTAGTCAGCTGCAGCAGTGGCTTGATATTAAATAACAACAGGTTTGGGGGGGGGGGGTCACTTTTGGCGTAGCATTGCACCCAGTCGAGTACTCACTTATTCCTTATGTGGACACAAGATCCACACTGGAAATCAAAGCCTACGGTTTGTAACGGATCGGCTTCCACTGGTGATCAGTGAGCGTTCAGTCTCGTATTTCCATTTTTTTTCGTCACATCTGCACACGGGTGCTGCAGCTGCACAACAGCACCATCTCCACCATTTCCATGTAATCCCTGTCGGGCATAAAGACTCGCAATGGGGAGACGGGTGTCTTTTTTTAAATATGTAAGAAATCATAAAAACGTGCGGTGCTCAACTGATAAATTGTTTGGCGGAGAAGCGAGGCTGGACCGTTTTGGACTCCTAAAAATAGTCTTTGAGCGTCTTGTCATCAGCCAGAGCCGCGCGGAACAAACGTTCAGCCCGATCTAAGTACAGAATGGCATGTGGACGAGTAATGAAACGCCACCACAGAGAGAGAGAGAGAGAGAGAGAGAGTGTGACCCCTGAGATAATGACATAATTCAACCGAGGTCGGACATCCACAAAGTGCTCTGCTAAGTCACTGTGTGCGACCCGTTTAGTACTGCTAGGACTCCCTTTCAGAAGCAGGAAGCAAATTCTTTGTTTTTATTTCTTGCACGCTGCTTTACTTGATTCCCCCATGTTCCGTTTTTGTTTCTCGTCTTCTAAGCACGCACGCACTCGTGAAATTAAGATGTCCTTTCGTCTGGTACCTTTTTATGTCAGATGGTAGTGAATACAAAGCCCCCCCCCCCTTTCTAGAAACCTGCATTGTGTTGCTCTGCTCTACATGTGAGGGCGGGTGAGCTTGACCCTCTGCGTGGGCTTCCTCGCATGGCCTTCACTGATCCGTCACATTCCTGCTCACTGTGTTCATGACTGAGCCGCATCGGTGCCGGAGAGAAATAAAAAGAGCGTAAATGAGTATGAAAAAATAAATGGGATTGGATATGTTTTCTATTATATATATTGTATCATTTGTTTTTTTAATTCTTTGAATAGAAGCGGGAGAATATGGCCGACATTAAATGAAACTGGAAAAAGCAGAGAGTTTCGACAACATTATCTGACAATACACGGCAACCAGATCCTCCAAAATCAGTGAAAGATTCACTTCCATTGTCATTTTATCCACACAGGGTCCCGTTTAAGGTCCCGTTACCATCCATTAAACTGAAAAAGATACTTGCATGTGATTACTGTATTTAAAATGTTTTAAATGGAATTGAACGGTAAAATAATAAGACAAAGAAGTGGAAAGGACAAAATAAGGAGTGTCTTTATTTCATACAGATGGTGAATTCAGAGTTGGGTAAAACATTGTGACTGTGAGCATCGTACAGTCTCGTCTCTGGTGCCACTTCACACTAATTGCTTCATGCTGAAGTGGCCTTTTCAGCGTCAGAGTTAAGAGCTCGGCCCGTGGATGGTTGCAGCGCTGCGGTTGTTGATTTTATTCATTTATTTATTTATTTTTGCTGCTCACCGCTGCGTTCTAACGCCTACACTGTGCTCCCGTCGGACCCGGAATTGTTGGACAGGTTTTGACTGCGAGCAGATCCACAAGGTTACTCGTTTCACAGGAGCGTATCTGAAATAATACAACTCGCTGCCAAGCTGTGGCCGGCCTGTATGCAGTAGAGACTCTGTGTAACAGTGAAACCCATGAGGCGTTCGCAGTGGAGCCACTCAAATAAGGTGGGAGGATCTCTCGGACTACAATATACTTTTAAGGATACATTCAAAAAGGTGATTATGAACCTGACAGGAGACAAAAAAAACACACACGCAGAGAAGTGTCTGATCAGTTTACCGTGAAGAAAAATGCTTTTCTCAAGAGTTGAAAAACGTGGTCTTGTCGCTGTGATTGACGAATAAATCTATTTCCATAAGGTTTACAGAAATTCAAAATGTGAATATTTGAATATTCTTCCAGATGTAAAACAGCTGGTTTGTTAATGATAACGAGTTCCGTCATGAGATACTGACTTACCTCCGCTGAGTTACTACAGAATTGTATTTGCTGACCATTTTTTTTTTTAGCATATCAATCAAGTATTGGCAAAATTGTTAACAGATTACTTGATTCACTGTAATGAAACTGACGGCCTAATTTTACGTCCCTGTAAATGCCCATTTGAAGACATTACTTTAACATCTTGTGCCATTTGTGTTCAATACATTTTGGTTTAGGTTTGATAATGCGCTGTAGATCCGGCCTCTTGTTGATATCTCGGCTCAAGTCTCGTGTTTCTCTTTTTATTTCTCTTTGCAGGAAGTCCATGAGATTCTGAAGGAATATGAGCTGAAATACTGCTTCGTGGACCGCAACAAAGGCACCGGTAAGACTCCCACCATTCAGACAATCAAACAAACTCTTATATCTGTGCACCCTCACAATACCTTATCCGTAACCTTTTAACCATCCAAACAAAAGCATGTACCATACATTTGACCTAATACCTACCCTAAACCAGCCAGGTAACGAATAGAAATGTCCAATCCCAAATGTCCTCAAGTGAAACCCTGAAAGATAAACAAGTACAAGAGCACCTATTGAGCTCAAGCAGCTATGTGCTATGTATCATTACAACGCTGTATTTATAGTGATATGGAAAGCAGTGAGGTGGTGTTTGCATGACTGAAGCACTTGTTTTACACGCTGTAGAAATAGTGCAGAGGTCACACTGTGACATCAGTGATCAACACGTTTCATTACTCATTACATTCAGGACAGTTTTCTTTTTTTTGTTTAAAATTTCTGCAATGTATAAAATGCAGTTAGGTGACAAATCTCCATTTATAGTTGACTTGTTAGTTTGTTATTGATACTGATTGGTCTCTGAATTGAGTCAAACAAATGGAAATCCAACTTGCTTAAATGTGAAGATGAAATACTCAACAATCGAATAGGTACTGATGCAGCCTGTACTTGCTGTAAATGCTAGATTATCTAGGATCATTTTGATATTTTAAAAATTGTAGTTTGTTACAATTACAGCCTCCGAAATGTCTACGAAGCTGGAAAGCTGTTTCGACTAATTATAACCTCCATGAAGGGAGTTTTTTTTGCCAAATCTGTTGTATTAGGACTGCATTACTTTTAGCTAGATGCACCTAATCAACTGGTGACTGAGCGCAGGAGACAGGATCACACTCTGCAAAATGTCTACAGTTTATCTCTTCTGTTGAGGGGATTTTCGGAGCGACTTTCTAATTTGCATGGAGAGTCTAAGGATGGAGGGTGTCTGCAGTGATGCCTGCTAAAAACAAACTAGCTGGTGGGAAGAAGTGATTTTCAAAATTGCCGATTAATTTAAGCATTCGCAGACTGTCATGATGACGGTCATGGTCTCAGTCTAATTGTCTGTTAAATAGAGCACTTATGTTTCTCAAAGCATTTGATTGGCAGCATTTTTCTTGAGATAAAATGGAGGACATGTTACAGTTGACGGGTGTGTAGCTTGTCAAATCTAATGTAACACAAGTACATTGTGCACAGACTCACACATCCTACTCACATTCTGAGTACGTTTAGGTTCTGATACGCACGGAAACACAAGAAGTCAGTCATGTACACACACACACACACAGGCATACAGAGACCCCTGGCCCTAATGCGTGTCCCTTTCCAGGGAAACGTCCTGCACAGTGCCTATATTTAGTCCATGCAGTCAGCCAAGCACCTGGAACTTAATGCTGCTGGAAAGCAGTAGGAGCCGTGTACAGCTGAGCTGTCAAAGCACCAGCATGTCTTAGAGGTTAACAGGGTTTGGACGAACAGACGAGAGCAGGATGAAACACGGGCCCTCGTTGGACCAGCAGCCGCGGCGCTCCACCAATCAGACGGCTGTGTTGTGCGTGTGTGCGTGTGTGTGTGTGTGTGTGTGTGTGTGTGTGATTTCCGACTAGTTTAGTTGGAGATGTGGAGGGTTGATATCAAACCTCTCTAGCCTTTCACAACACACAGACCTCTATTTAACCTCACCGTGTGATTCAACGGAGTGTGTGTTCATTGTGTGTGTGATAACAAATGTAAAGCTGTGTATCCTGTGCTTTCATGAGAAGTGTTGGTCGTTTCTGTGTGTGTGTGTGTGTGTGTGTGTGTGTGTGTGTGTGTGTGTGTGTGTGTGTGACACAGCGGTCAGAATGAACTTGTTTACCATTGAACAGTTTGCACAGCATCTGGGTAACATCCCTCCAGCCAAGTGTTTACAGTGTGACTCACTGCTCTCCTTCGTCTCTCCCGCCGTCTCTTTTCTCTCTGTCACCCTTTCACCCTTCCTGCCTCTCAAAGTCTCGCAACTTTGGAAAATAAAGACATTCCTTCTGCGTGTTTGCAGCAGTTGAGGCAGTTTGAAATGTGGCCTCTGAATGAGCTGAAATGGTGAATTCAGAACGGCAAACTGAGCGCGGTGTGAATTATGTGTCCATTGCATACGGAGAGCCACAGACTCAGGAGTATTGTGACATTGTTTCAGTGTGGGGGAGGAAAGTGAATTTACATTTCGTGAAATATTACAATATATATATATATATATATATATATATATATATATATATATATATATATATATATATATGGCAATTTATAGTGAAATAGAAAATCGGTAGATTAGGTTGAAAATGTTCTTTGATGTTTTCTGTTATTTTCGAAAAGTCTTAACGAGAGGGAATTTCTCCACTTGGTTGTTCTTGTTACTTTCATGTCTCAAAGGCTTCTGCTTGTGTCGCTCACTGCTTCTCACCACTGAGGGGTTTTCTGAACGTCCTCCTTTTGTTTTTCTGGATTATGGGATGGAGATTGTTGCTTGATGAGTCTGTGAAGCAGAACACGAACCCTGAGAAGCCCGACCGGACACTACAGAGGCTTAGAATCCAGGATGTTCTAGTCTGGATTGCTTGTTTTGTAGAGTGAACACTTCAAATGTTATTTATTGCTTCTTTTGCTCGCGCACACACACATAAACAGCCTTCTCTTCTCACTAGAAACACCACTGATTCATTATGGGGATTAAATAAACTACGTGGTACCTCATATCAACAGAAACTGTGATGAAAGGAATCCCCTGTTGGTATTTAAGAATAACATCACACATCTTTCTGTTCTTGACACAAAATGCACCCATAAGACACTTTTGTAGAAGACTTTAGAAGGCAGAAGGACATTCCTAATGAAATTAACTAGGACAATCTAAAATAATATGCTTAAAATCAGCAGGTAGTGAAAGAGAGTCCTTGTCTTGGAACATTTGCTCATTGTTCAACCCCCTCGTATGAAGAGCAGACGCTAATCCATAACTAGGGAGGTTCTTAGGATAGATGGATTAATAGGAGATTGGAATTGGAAGAGGACGAACAGATGGAATGTAATCAATATTTAGCTCATGTCCTGCATTGAATTTGCTTTAGCACATCTAGGTAATCTGTTCATCTATTTTGCATTACATAACTGACATAAATGTAATGTGTATCTTAAATAGCAGATGGCATCAACAGGTCACTTTTCACTGCAGAGTGGAATTATAAAAATGCACTTGCAATTAAGAGTACATTTGTTCATCAGATGTTTCATCACAGTACTCAATAGAAGCCATGCTTTGTCATTTTAAGGCAGACCACAGTTTCTATCGGTTTAAACTGGCTTAAATTATTCAATTTGTTTCATATCCGTCTGTTCTGTAATAAAAACATAATAAAATAATAGTCCTATGAAAGAAGTGAAAGTGGAACTTCTCACACACGGTTGTATTGTCCTCAGATGGGTTCAAGTTTATGGGTTTAATGTTTTATTTGAAAATAATTGTCCTAATGTGGAATTATTGTTTTTATTATTTTCATAATTTATAGATGGTCACAATCAATGCCTAGATTACTGCGGAATCTTCAATATGTTATTAATAAACATAAACTCTGCGAAATGAACTGAGCCAATATAAAAGATGTTTTTTTAGGCCATATGAGCATAACTGAGATGATTTATTGTGGTTTCATTGTGTGCAGAGAGGTTATTATAACTGGTGTGAAATGCACACACATCACCTGAGCTGAGAGTTTCCCACAAACGCACAAAAACAGTCAAGCATGCAGCAGACATCCTGGATGCCACTTGGGAGTGTGAGTGTCTGTTTGTTCTGAAAAGGTAACGTTTGTCTGTGTTTGGGGATTCCAGCTGTCAAGTCTATAATAACGGGGAGAAGACCGGGCTGCTGTTTTTACACCCGTTTCATTTTCACGTTAGTGTTTATGAGACCTAATAAGAGACAGGAATTACTTCACATACACAACCCTGTTGCACATTTTAATGGAAAACGGTGTTGTTATTTTGTATTAGTTATTCCACCATATCCCGGCTGGATAGTTTCTTGTTTGACCCTTTTCTCTCTGAGCATTGGATTGATCAGTATTCAAATAATTAATACGTATTATGTATATTTAAGAATTTAAAAGATAGAACTATATAACTATATATTATAAAATTCTTAAGTCAGTGTATTTCCTAGTTCTTAGCATTGAAAGAAACATTTCAACCACCAACCAATTGTGTGTGGTTCAGAGTTTTGGTGGGTGAGGGTGCAAGTTAGTGCAAGTAAACGTTCTGACCTTACTTGGCTCTGTCAAGACTTTGTTTGTGTGACTGCGTTGTGAAGTTGTTTTCCGTCAGGTGAGAAAGGTGTTAATTTCACTAAAGGAGGAACTAGGGACACATAAGTGATTGACCCTGTGGTAATTATGCCACATTACACATTTCTTTTCTCTGCTTTTGCCCTAATTGGACTTTCTGGGTGTAACGGAAAAAAGATTACCGTGGAAAAAACTGCCGTACTCGATGTGTCTTGTAATACTCCGTTGCGTTCTCACTCTTTGTGTTGTTTAGCTGGCGGGACCTCTCTTGGCTCGTCTCGGACCTTTGCTCTAATTGAAGAATACTGCTCAGAGAGGCTTTGGCATGCGTCTGCACCTCATGACTGCATCAGCCCGCCGAGCTGGCCTCCACCGTTGGACTTATTAGGCCATACCGATGGGACTGTTTACGTGTCGGTCGGGGGTGTGTACTGCCTGTGTGTGCGTGTGCGTGTGCGTGTGCGCGCGCATAAAACTCCGTCTCCATTTACGGCTTTGCTTCGGGCTGCTGCTTCATGATGATTTTCCCATAAACACCCGTCCTCTGAACACACACATTCGAGTACCATCACCTCAGTTAACACTGAGCTCTTGGCATTTAGTTTGTTTCATCTGAGACACGCTTTAATAAAGTATCTAATCCCCAGTCTTTGGCAGTAGTGCCCTTTGTCCCTCGGTCCCTTTCCCCCTTTGCTTCCTTCCTTTCTCAAACTATTGC